AGGAATACCTACAGTGGGGAGAACAAGTATTTGATACACTGCCGATTTTGCAGATTTTCCTACTTACAAAGCATGTAGACGTCTGTAATTTTTTATCATAGGTACACTTCAACTGTGAGAGACGGAATCTAAAACAAAAATCCAGAAAATCACAATATATGTATTTTAAGTAATTAATTTGCATTTTATTGCATGACATAAGTATTTGATCACCTACCAACCAGTAAGAATTCCGGTTCTCACAGACCTGTTAGTTTTTCTTTAAGAAGCCCTCCTGTTCCGTATTGAGGGGAGGATGGATGGGGCCATGTATCGCGAGATCTTGGCCAACAACCTCCTTCCCTCAGTAAGAGCATTGAAGATGGGTCGTGGCTGGGTCTTCCAGCATGACAACGACCCGAAACACACAGCCAGGGCAACTAAGGAGTGGCTCCGTAAGAAGCATCTCAAGGTCCTGGAGTGGCCTAGCCAATCTCCAGACCTGAACCCGATAGAAAATCTTTGGAGGGAGCTGAAAGTCCGTATTGCCCAGCGACAGCCCCGAAACCTGAAGGATCTGGAGAAGGTCTGTATGGAGGAGTGGGCCAAAATCCCTGCTGCAGTGTGTGCAAACCTGGTCAAGACCTACAGGAAACGTATGATCTCTGTAATTGCAAACAAAGGTTTCTGTACCAAATATTAAGTTCTGCTTTTCTGATGTATCAAATACTTATGTCATGCAATAAAATGCAAATTAATTACTTAAAAATCATACAATGTGATTTTCTGGATTTTTGTTTTAGATTCCGTCTCTCACAGTTGAAGTGTACCTATGATAAACATTACAGACCTCTACATGCTTTGTAAGTAGGAAAACCTGCAAAATCGGCAGTGTATCAAATCCTTGTTCTCCCCACTCTATGCGAGAAAGCTGTTCATAGTCTACAGCTCAGCGTTCAACGCCATTGTCCCCTCTAAGCTCGTCACCAAGCTTAGGACCCTGGGGCTGCGTCACTGCTTGGTATGGCAATAGCACCGCCCTCTATCGCATGGCGCTACAGAGGGTGGTGCGGACAGCCCAGAACCTCACTGGGGCCGAGCTCCATGTCATCCAGGACCTCTGTACCAGGCGGTGTGAAATGAAGGCCCTGAAAATCATTAGACTCCAGCCAAAGACTTATCTATGATTCCGCACGGCAGGCGGTACCTCTGCATCCAGTCTGACACTAACAGGCTCCTGAACAGCTTCTATCCCCAAGACATAATAAGACTGCTCAATAGCTAACAGAACGGCTACACGGACCCTCGTATTTAATTTTTTGCACTGTCTCTGCACTCACAGGGCCCTACACACACACTCTACCATTTGCTCACACACATAATGCACATTTATACTGACTCTACACACCCCCACTCACATACAATTATCATATACATTGCTGCTACTCTATCATATATCCTGAATCATTGTCACCTTACCCCTATACATTCCTACCTCCATCTCATTCTAAATATGCTTATCGGTCAATGGGATAATTGGCATAATTTAGTGGAATTCAATTGGCGCTTGTGTATGTTCGAGATATACATACAGTACCAGTCAAAAGTTTAGACACCTACTCATTCCAGGGTTTTTCCTTTATTTTTACTATTTTCTACATTGTAGAATAACAGTGAATACATCAAAACTATGAAATAACACATATGGAATCATGTAGTAACCAAAAAAGTGTTACATCCAAATATATTTTATATTTGAGATTCTTCAAAGTAGCCTCCCTTTGCCTTGATGACAGCTTTGCACACTCTTGGCATTCTCTCAACCAGCTTCATGAGGTAGTCACCTGGAATGCATTTCAATTAACAGGTGTGCCGTCTTAAAAGTTAATTTGTGGAATTTCTTTCCTTAATGCTCTCAACTCTAATCTATAAAACCCTTGAATGAGTAGGTGTGTCCAAACTTTTGGTCAAATCTGTCTGTTTTATAAGCCCAATCATTGACCAATAATTAAATGTGTTAAAAATAGTTTTTTGGGCCATGATTAAAAAGAGCTAGTATTTTTATTTCTCAACTGGTAATTGAAGCTCGCTTCACATTCATCATTCAAATGCATGGCCATGGCTTCACACACCACTTTGCAATGAGCTGGAGGCAGTATGCATTTTAAAACATACAGTTGAAGTCGGAAGTTTACATACACTTAGGTTGGAGTCATTAAAACTCGTTTTTCAACCACTCCACAAATTTCTTGTTAACAAACTATAGTTTTGGCACGTCGGTTAGGACATCTACTTTATGCATGACAAGTAATTTTTCCAACAATTGTTTACAGACAGATTATTTCACTTAATCACAATTCCAGCGGGTCAGAAGTTTCCATACGCTTAGTTGACTGTGCCTTTAAACAGCTTGCAAAATTCCACAAAAAGATGTCATGGCTTTAGAAGCTTCTGATAGGCTAATTGACATCATTTGAGTCAATTTGAGGTGTACCTGTGGATGTATTTCAAGGCCTACCTTCAAACTTAGTGCCTCTTTGCTTGACATCATGGGAAAATCAAAAGAAATCAGCCAAGACATCAGAAAAAAAAAATGGTAGACCTCCACAAGCCTGGTTCATCCTTGGGAGAAATTTCCAAACGCCTGAAGGTACCGCGTTCATCTGTACAAACAATAGTACGCAAGTATAAACACCATGGGACCACGCAGCCGTCATACCGCTCAGGAAGGAGACGCGTTCTGTCTCCTAGAGATGAACGTACTTTGGTGTGAAAAGTGCAAATCAATCCCAGAACAACAGCAAAGGACCTTGTGAAGATGCTGGAGGAAACGGGTACAAAAGTATCTATATCCACAGTAAAACGAGTCCTATATCGACATAACCTGAAAGGCTGCTCAGCAAGGAAGAAGCCACTGCTCCAAAACCGCCATTAAAAAGCCAGACTACGGTTTGCAACTGCACATGGGGACAAAGATCGTACTTTTTGGAGAAATGTCCTCTGGCCTGTTGAAACAAAAATAGAACTGTTTGGCCATAATGACCATCGTTATGTTTGGAGGAAAAAGGGGGTACTTGCAAGCCGAAGAACACCATCCCAATCGTGAAGCACGGGGGTGGCATCATCATGCTGTGGGGGTGCTTTGCTGCAGGAGGGACTGGTGCACTTCACAACATAGATGGCATCATGAGGAAGGAAAATGATGTGGATATATTGAAGCAACATCTCAAGACATCAGTCAGGAAGTTAAAGCTTGGTCGCAAATGGGTCTTCCAAATGGACAATGACCCCAAGCATACTTCAAAAGTTGTGGCAAAATGGGTTAAGGACAACAAAGTCAAGGTATTGGAGTGGCCATCACAAAGCCCTGATATCAATCCTATAGAAAATGTGTGGGTAGAACTGAAAAAGCGTGTGCGAGCAAGGAGGCCTACAAACCTGACTCAGTTACACCAGCTCTGTCAGGAGGAATTGGCCAAAATTCACCCAATTTATTGTGGGAAGCTTGTAGAAGGCTACCCAAAACACTTGACCCAAGTTAAACAATTTAAAGGCAATGCTGCCAAATACTAATTGAGTGTATGTAAACTTCTGACCCACTGGGAATGTGATGAAAGAAATAAAAGCTGAAATAAATCTCTACTATTATTCTGACATTTCACATTCTTAAAATAAAGTGGTGATCCTAACTGACCTAAGACAGGGAATTTTTACTAGGATTAAATGTCAGGAATTGTGAAAAACTGAGTTTAAATGTATTTGGCTAAGGCGTATGTAAACTTCCGACTTCAACTGTATAGCTACTTAATTGTTTGAAACCTGAACGTTTTCACTACATATTATGGTTTACACCTTGCTTCAAGGTAGCCCAGGCAATATCTATGGAGGCAATTATTATATAAAGACTTCCATACGCCATTGAAACCAGTAGCCTATTTCTCTCATGTTCTATCGGTTTCCAACTTTCTTTCATTGTCCGGTAGCCTAATGGCTTGTGTGTTGCTCTAATGTTAAGAAATAATAGTTTATTACCATTTTAAGGGAAAACGTTCTGATCGGCTGCATCGGATTCATTGCTTTTTAACGTTTTTAAAAATCGCATTGCCTTACAGTATATTTGGAAGCTAGGCCTACAGTCAGAAGGAAAGGCAGCGCACTATTTGGGCTCGTGCGGCAAATACCAAATAGATGATTGTTGAGTTGCGACAGTAGAAGCCCAGCCAGGCATATCGCAGTATTTCAAAATGGAATCACGGGAAAACAGGTTTGGAAAGCAAATGGATGTCTTTTTATGTTATCAAAATTCTCAACATAATTGAGCGAACAGTACAGTCGTTGTCAAAAGTTTTGAGAATGACAAGTATTGGTCTCCACAAAGTTTTGCTGCTTCAGTGTTATGATATATTTTTGTCAGATGTTACTATGGTATACTGAAGTATAATTACAAGCATTCCATAAGTGTCAAAGGCTTTTATTGACAATTACATTCAATTTATGTAAAGAGTCAATATTTGCGGTGTTGACCCTCTGCAATTCGCCCTAGCATGCTGTCAATTAACTTCTGGGCCACATCCTGACTGATGGCAGCCCATTCTTGCATAATCAATGTTTGTCAGAATTTGTGGGTTTTTGTTTGTCCACCCGCCTCTTGAGGATCGACCACAAGTTCTCAATGGGATTAAGGTCTGGGGAGTTTCCTGGCCATGACCCAAAATGTCGATGTTTTGTTCCCCGAGCCACTTAGTTATCACTTTTGCCTTATGGCAAGGTGCTCCATCATGCTGGAAAAGGCATTGGTCGTCACCCTGTAATTTCTTGTATCAAAAAAGATTGCTAATGTCTCCAGTCATATAAAGTGTAGTAGAATTGCATGAAATGTGTTTTTTTCCCCATGCAAATTAAGAAGAAACGTATCTGATATAGCCCAGGCCTCTACACTAGAAGCGCTCTGCAATGCATTTTGGTCAGGTACATTTCTCAAATGTTTGCGGTCCTGGCAGGCGATGGCGGCGTATGTGTACCTGATGTTCCGGTCCTGGCAGGCGATGGCTGTGTGGGTGCGAGTAGCGTCCAGGTCCATATCGTACAGAGTGGTCTTCTCTACTACGTGGTGACTGCGGGCAAAGTTCAGCCCCTCCGACGACTGGAGGGAGGGGAGGGGGGGGGGGGGGGGGGGGGGAGAGACAGAGGTGAGTTAATGCTGCAATTCAAACTTAAATGCATTTTTTACACATTTTAATTTGACCATTTATTATATGGTGAGTGGATATATGGTAAATAGAGGTTCACCTGTTCAGCGGTGCGGAAGTAGATGCTCTTATCAGCACCACAGCTCACCATAAGAACTTCTGGGCTCACACCTACAACACACAGAAAAACAGGCAGAGACAAACTACTAGTTAGCACTTTCTCTTTTCTTTTGTGTGTGTGTCCTCCGTGTGTGTGTGTGTGTGTGTGTGTGTGTGTCCTCCGTGTGTGTGTGTGTGTCCACCGTGTGTGTGTGTCCACCGTGTGTGTGTGTGTGTGTGTGTGTGTGTGTGTCCTCCGTGTGTGTGTCCACCGTGTGTGTGTGTCCACCGTGTGTGTGTCCACCGTGTGTGTGTGTGTCCTCCGTGTGTGTGTCCACCGTGTGTGTGTGTCCTCCGTGTGTGTGTGTGTGTGTGTGTGTGTGTGTGTCCTCCGTGTGTGTGTCCACCGTGTGTGTGTGTCCACCGTGTGTGTGTGTCCACCGTGTGTGTGTGTCCACCGTGTGTGTGTGTGTGTGTGTGTGTGTCCTCCGTGTGTGTGTCCACCGTGTGTGTGTGTCCACCGTGTGTGTGTGTGTCCTCCGTGTGTGTGTCCACCGTGTGTGTGTGTCCTCCGTGTGTGTGTGTGTGTGTGTGTGTGTGTGTCCTCCGTGTGTGTGTGTCCACCGTGTGTGTGTGTCCACCGTGTGTGTGTGTCCACCGTGTGTGTGTGTCCACCGTGTGTGTGTGTCCACCGTGTGTGTGTGTGTGTGTGTCCACCGTGTGTGTGTGTGTGTGTCCACCGTGTGTCCGTGTGTGTGTGTGTGTGTGTGTGTGTGTGTGTCCACCGTGTGTGTGTGTGTGTGTCCGTGTGTCCGTGTGTGTGTGTGTGTGTGTGTGTCCACCGTGTACCAGTGAACTTGATAGCAGTGATGGAGGCTGAGTGATCATAGACAGTCTGTTCCAGGCTGTAGCTCCTCTCCATGTTGAAGACGTGGATCAGACGGTCTCGACTCGCCGACGCCAGCAGGTGCAGACCTGAAACGCAAAACACACTCACCGTAAAAACACAAACCACGTTTCCATCCACAGTCACACCGTATAAAAAAAAAAAAAGCTATGACAGCTGTGATGGAAACAGAAAGTGTCGGTCCAATTTTATAAACGCAGACAGATCATTTGTTTGTTCGACATGCGGGGTCTTTGTGTCGGTAAAATTATTTATGCGGGAAATGGCGCTGGAAATGCCTTTATGCACAGATATTGATATAATAACCATCATATTGAAGTAAATTTGGAGTCACGAGATGATATGGTGTGTGGTCCTCCCACTACAACTCTGGAAACACGGGCAGTTTATTAGGCTTCATAAGGTGGTGAAAGTGCACTGTGATCTTGATGCTCCTACGAGGGTCTTATCCTGGTGACATGATCGATGCTTGACTGCCGTTTTGACAAATACAAATATTCTCGCTCTTGTCCATAATAATCTCATCATGTAGACTAGTTTACCTGCACTGTATCTGCCAGCGGTTGGCTGGAGCCAAGACCAGAGTAGGAACATCTGCTATTCAACGCAACAGTTTGTGACAAAACGGCATCCTTTTTGTCCACGGCAAACCACGCCCACGAGAAACCTAGCAACATTCCAAACCGCGCTGATTGGTCAGAGTTCGGTCACCAAGGACACTCTGGAATCGCTTCATATGAAATGGAAAAACACTATTGACTGAAGTGACCAATGAGAACGTTTCTCCTGACCATGTGATATGACATGGAGAAACTGGCCAGAGTGTTTTCCTGGTCATGTGCTAGATTGAAGATAAGGTTAAGACAAAAAGGTTCTAATATCCCAGAATTCTAAACTAAAGGACCGGCTATGCTAGTTAGCCATGACGCTGGGCCCATGAATTTGTATTTTAGAAAGCATTACTTGTCCTAACCTTGGTATCTTCAACCTTGAGGTAGTCAGGAAAAACTCCTGGTCCTGAACCATGCAGGTGAAATTCCAGGCTCCGTCCTGACCAGTCGCAGTAGGAAAGAACTCGAGACACTCCCCCGTCTCTGTAGGGGAGGACTCCCCCGTCTCTGTAGGGGAGGACTCCCCCGTCTCTGTAGGGGAGGACCCACCTGTCTCTGTAGGGGAGGACTCCCCCGTCTCTGTAGGGGAGGACTCCCCTGTCTCTGTAGGGGAGGACTCCCCCGTCTCTGTAGGGGGAGGACTCCCCCGTCTCTGTAGGGGAGGACTCCCCCGTCTCTGTAGGGGAGGACTCCCCCGTCTCTGTAGGGGAGGACCCCCCCGTCTCTGTAGGGGAGGACTCCCCCGTCTCTGTAGGGGAGGACTCCCCCGTCTCTGTAGGGGAGGACTCCCCTGTCTCTGTAGGGGAGGACTCCCCTGTCTCTGTAGGGGAGGACTCCCCCGTCTCTGTAGGGGAGGACTCACCCGTCTCTGTAGGGGAGGACTCACCTGTCTCTGTAGGGGAGGACTCACCTGTCTCTGTAGGGGAGAACTCCAGACACAGCACCTCAGAGTCGTGGGCTTCGATCTTCTGCAGCTGATCCATGAACTGTAGACCAAATATACTGGGGACAGGAAAACGCATGACATCTTAGTTTATGTGGTCATGTTGACTGTGTGTGTGTGTGTGTGTGTGTGTGTGTGTGTGTGTATGTATGTGTGCGCGCTTACTGTACGTTTCCGTTGCGGTCCCCAGCTGCCAGGTGTTGTCCATCAGGACTGATGCCCAGGACTCGGATCCCTGACTTAGCATCCATCCCGGCCCCCTCTCCTCTCTCCCCCTCCGTCTGAAGGTGCTGGGTGTCCTCCCCCACATAAACAATCCTCAACAGATCCTGGACCAGCACACAGACAGACAGGGACAGTCAGACCGAGTTTTCAGAATAAAACCTTTATATCTGTGGGCAGTAATTTGTAAACCAAGACTCTGAATGAACAACGCTACGGCATTGGCAGGTTGCAGTGAGACTCACCTGGCTGTAGAGGTTACGGTGGCAGCTGGTTCCCTGCCCCTGCACCAGCCCCGGGTCGCTGTGCCACAGCCGGATGGTATTGTCTGAAGAGCAGGTGAGGAAGGATCCGGGGGGCAGACAGGAGCGGGACAGATCCATATCAGGGTATGTCTGAAAACAAAAACACAGTAAATATGCTAGGAAAGCGACGCAGTATTTTCCAGGAAGTAGCCTGGCAAGTTTAGAACTTTGGTAAATGGGCAGAAACGTAGCGCAATTGTCTCCATCCATCCATCCATCCATCCGTCCATCCATCCATCCCCCCATCCATCCGTCCATCCATCCATCCCCCCATCCGTCCGTCCGTCCATCCATCCATCCGTCCCCATATGATACAGAAAATACCGGTGTAGCTGAGATATGCCCGAGGCTACACACACCTCTAGACTCCAGACACAGCCGCTGTGGTAGAGGGCAGAGTAGACCTTCCCAACGTTCCTGATGTCCCGGACATCCCAGACATACACACTGTGGTCGTTGTATACACAGGTCAGGTGACGGGTTACAGGGTCAAAGGTCAGGGCTAGGGTGTCTGGGTACTCTGCCTTGGGGTTGGCAACAAACAGATGCCTGTATGGAGTCAGGAGAATCAGGAAAAACCACAATACATTATTCTAATCCAATCTAAAAGCAGAACAATATCATCATGCTTCTCCGGTGTCCTGACACGGACACTGTTGTTCTAAGAGACAGTTTATGCTTGATCTGAAAATGTGGGTCGGGACTCCGTATGGAGGGTGTGACGCAATTGTGGAGTCTCCGGAGGCATGCAGAAGCCAAATTGAGCTCTGTACCACATCTCTGTGAGCCTCCCGAATGTTTCAACAATGCAGAGGGCTCCGTATAGCTCCACATTGACATGATTGGTTGATGGTAGGTGAGGGGGCGGGAGGTCCTGTATAAGCACAAACTCACTTCCTTGACAACTTCCTTCACAACAGATCTGCGCTGCTCCACGAAGCAGAGGCCGTATCGCCGTAAATGCTTCACGGTCAATGCAGACTTCAGATTGACCATGCAGCACCTTTCATTCTTAACTGGCTCCAGGTGTCCTGACACGGACACTGTTGTTCCAACTCTTAACTGGCTCCAGGTGTCCTGACACGGACACTGTTGTTCCAACTCTTAACTGGCTCCAGGTGTCCTGACACGGACACTGTTGTTCCAACTCTTAACTGGCTCCAGGTGTCCTGACACGGACTCTGTTGTTCCAACTCTTAACTGGCTCCAGGTGTCCTGACACGGACACTGTTGTTCCAACTCTTAACTGGCTCCAGGTGTCCTGACACGGACACTGTTGTTCCAACTCTTAACTGGCTCCAGGCACTGAAGCATCCACTGTTCATATGACTACCTCAGTATACAGAGCTTCAGTTTCTGGGCACATGTTCACCCGACCTCAGGAGTAATGTGGAGTATCACTGGGACTAATGTATCTTCCTGTGTGTTACTCGAGCATCTCTTTTAACCTCCTCTGTCGGTTTCTCTTTCTGTGTGATACATAAAAAAACACCATATCACTATGTAACGTGCTGCAACCAAATTGCCCATCAGACAATCCATTACCCTGGCTGAAGGCCCTGTGTGATGTCCACTCCCAGGCAGTGTGGCCGGTGCAGGGTGGTGATGTAATGAAGGTTCTGGGGGCTGAAGACTCGGACGGTGCCATCTGCACAGCCACAGAAGATCAACACTTCGTTCACCGACAGACAGCGAGCAGAGGTGGTCTGGAGAGAGAGAGAGAAGGGAGGGTTAGACAGAGGTGGTCTGAAGAGAGAGAAGGGAGGGTTAGACAGAGGTGGTCTGAAGAGATAGAGAAGGGAGGGTTAGACAGAGGTGGTCTAGAGAGAGAGAGAAGGGAGGGTTAGACAGAGGTGGTCTGGAGAGAGAGAGAGAGAAGGGAGGGTTAGACAGAGGTGGTCTGGAGAGAGAGAGAGAAGGGAGGGTTAGACAGAGGTGGTCTGAAGAGATAGAGAAGGGAGGGTTATACAGAGGTGGTCTGGAGAGAGAGAGAAGGGAGGGTTAGACAGAGGTGGTCTGGAGAGAGAGAGAAGGGAGGGTTAGACAGAGGTGGTCTGGAGAGAGAGAAGGGTTAGACAGAGGTGGTCTGGAGAGAGAGAGAGAAGGGAGGGTTAGACAGAGGTGGTCTGAAGAGAGAGAAGGGAGGGTTAGACAGAGGTGGTCTGAAGAGATAGAGAAGGGAGGGTTAGACAGAGGTGGTCTAGAGAGAGAGAGAAGGGAGGGTTAGACAGAGGTGGTCTGGAGAGAGAGAGAGAGAAGGGAGGGTTAGACAGAGGTGGTCTGGAGAGAGAGAGAGAAGGGAGGGTTAGACAGAGGTGGTCTAGAGAGAGAGAGAAGGGAGGGTTAGACAGAGGTGGTCTGGAGAGAGAGAAGGGTTAGACAGAGGTGGTCTGAAGAGAGAGAAGGGTTAGACAAAGGTGGTCTGGAGAGAGAGAGAGAAGGGAGGGTTAGACAGAGGTGGTCTGGAGAGAGAGAGAAGGGAGGGTTAGACAGAGGTGGTCTGAAGAGAGAGAAGGGTTAGACAGAGGTGGTCTGGAGAGAGAGAAGGGAGGGTTAGACAGAGGTGGTCTGGAGAGAGAGAAGGGAGGGTTAGACAGAGGTGGTCTGGAGAGAGAGAAGGGAGGGTTAGACAGAGGTGGTCTGGAGAGAGAGAAGGATTAGACAGAGGTGGTCTGAAGAGAGAGAAGGGTTAGACAGAGGTGGTCTGAAGAGAGAAGGGTTACAGAGGTGGTCTGGAGAGAGAGAAGGGTTAGACAGGTGGTCTGGAGAGAGAGAAGGGTTAGACAGAGGTGGTCTGAAGAGAGAGAAGGGTTAGACAGAGGTGGTCTGAAGAGACAGAGGTGGTCTGAAGAGAGAGAAGGGTTAGACAGAGGTGGTCTGGAGAGAGAGAAGGGAGGGTTAAACAGAGGTGGTCTGGGTTAGGGCTAGGGTTCGTTAGGGTCAGGGTTCGTTAGGGTCATCCTGACCTTGAGGTCCACCCAGGCATCCAGCATCCTCCTGCTGTTGAACTGACAAAGCAGGCCAGAGGAAGTGATGCAATAGGTGCTGCTGGCCATGTTGCCCCGCCCACACGACAGACCACAGAACATGCTGTTCCTCTGTTCCCCTAGCAAGCCTGATCGGCCAATCAGAGGCACCGTGCTGTTCACCTAGGGGGAGGAGCCATAGTAAACATCCAATCAAACCATGACTCAGAATCAACCCTTTACTCAGACACACTTGTATATCTCTAAAAACAATGGGTGGAGTACAAACAGTATCGCATATAAAATACTTAATAATTAAAATGTCCTGACCCGTCTCTCTTTAGAGGCGTCTAGGTACCAGAACTTGACGTGTCGGTTTCCTGCTGTGACAAAGTAGCTGTTGTCTTCAGAGAAAGAGACGGACAGAACTCTGCTAGACACCTTGTTGGACGCTATCACTGTCCCCTTCTACAAACACAGAAGAAGAGGGTTTAGAAATCGTATTTTCAGTTTCACTTAGCTTGGGTTATTTTAGATAACACAGGGATTTCAGTGGCCTCTAGTGGAAGGCCTTTGACCAGACTGCTGTCAGAAGTGATAAGAGATTGAAGGATGTTGTTGTTGTGCAGGGCAGAACGTGTGGACTAACACTAATCAGTCAGTCTGAACACCCTTCAGCAAGTTAGCAGACCGATAGAATGACGGGACATAAAGGTACAGGCTCTGGGATTCCCTGCCTCTCCCAAGAAGCCCAGCCTTACCCTAACCCCAGCACTATCCTCCAGGCTGCAGCCATACCCTAACCCCAGCACTATCCTCCAGGCTGCAGCCATACCCTAACCCCAGCACTATCCTCCAGGCTGCAGCCATACCCTAACCCCAGTACTATCCTCCAGGCTGCAGCCATACCCTAACCCCAGTACTATCCTCCAGGCTGCAGCCACAGCCCAGCCATACCCTAACCCCAGCACTATCCTCCAGGCTGCAGCCATACCCTAACCCCAGTACTATCCTCCAGGCTGCAGCCACAGCCCAGCCATACCCTAACCCCAGTACTATCCTCCAGGCTGCAGCCATACCCTAACCCCAGCACTATCCTCCAGGCTGCAGCCATACCCTAACCCCAGCACTATCCTCCAGGCTGCAGCCATACCCTAACCCCAGCACTATCCTCCAGCCACAGCCCAGCCATACCCTAACCCCAGTACTATCCTCCAGGCTGCAGCCATACCCTAACCCCAGTACTATCCTCCAGGCTGCAGCCATACCCTAACCCCAGTACTATCCTCCAGGCTGCAGCCATACCCTAACCCCAGTACTATCCTCCAGGCTGCAGCCATACCCTAACCCCAGTACTATCCTCCAGGCTGCAGCCATACCCTAACCCCAGTACTATCCTCCAGGCTGCAGCCATACCCTAACCCCAGCACTATCCTCCAGGCTGCAGCCATACCCTAACCCCAGCACTATCCTCCAGGCTGCAGCCATACCCTAACCCCAGTACTATCCTCCAGGCTGCAGCCATACCCTAACCCCAGTACTATCCTCCAGGCTGCAGCCATACCCTAACCCCAGTACTATCCTCCAGGCTGCAGCCACAGCCAGGCCATACCCTAACCCCGGCACTATCCTCCAGGCTGCAGCCATACCCTAACCCCAGTACTATCCTCCAGGCTGCAGCCACAGCCCAGCCATACCCTAACCCCAGTACTATCCTCCAGGCTGCAGCCATACCCTAACCCCAGCACTATCCTCCAGGCTGCAGCCATACCCTAACCCCAGTACTATCCTCCAGGCTGCAGCCATACCCTAACCCCAGCACTATCCTCCAGGCTGCAGCCATACCCTAACCCCAGCACTATCCTCCAGGCTGCAGCCATACCCTAACCCCAGTACTATCCTCCAGGCTGCAGCCACAGCCCAGCCATACCCTAACCCCAGTACTATCCTCCAGGCTGCAGCCATACCCTAACCCCAGCACTATCCTCCAGGCTGCAGCCATACCCTAACCCCAGCACTATCCTCCAGGCTGCAGCCATACCCTAACCCCAGCACTATCCTCCAGGCTGCAGCCTTACCCTAACCCCAGCACTATCCTCCAGGCTGCAGCCTTACCCTAACCCCAGTACTATCCTCCAGGCTGCAGCCACAGCCCAGCCATACCCTAACCCCAGTACTATCCTCCAGGCTGCAGCCACAGCCCAGCCATACCCTAACCCCAGCACTATCCTCCAGGCTGCAGCCATACCCTATCCCCAGCACTATCCTCCAGGCTGCAGCCATACCCTAACCCCAGTACTATCCTCCAGGCTGCAGCCATACCCTAACCCCAGCACTATCCTCCAGGCTGCAGCCATACCCTAACCCCAGCACTATCCTCCAGGCTGCAGCCATACCCTAACCCCAGCACTATCCTCCAGGCTGCAGCCACAGCCAAGCCATACCCTAACCCCAGCACTATCCTCCAGGCTGCAGCCACAGCCCAGCCATACCCTAACCCCAGTATTATCCTCCAGGCTGCAGCCATACCCTAACCCCAGCACTATCCTCCAGGCTGCAGCCATACCCTAACCCCAGTACTATCCTCCAGGCTGCAGCCATACCCTAACCCCAGCACTATCCTCCAGGCTGCAGCCACAGCCCAGCCATACCCTAACCCCAGCACTATCCTCCAGGCTGCAGCCATACCCTAACCCCAGCACTATCCTCCAGGCTGCAGCCATACCCTAACCCCAGTACTATCCTCCAGGCTGCAGCCATACCCTAACCCCAGCACTATCCTCCAGGCTGCAGCCATACCCTAACCCCAGCACTATCCTCCAGGCTGCAGCCATACCCTAACCCCAGTACTATCCTCCAGGCTGCAGCCACAGCCCAGCCATACCCTAACCCCAGCACTATCCTCCAGGCTGCAGCCCAGCCATACCCTAACCCCAGTACTATCCTCCAGGCTGCAGCCATACCCTAACCCCAGCACTATCCTCCAGGCACAGCCCAGCCATACCCTAACCCCAGCACTATCCTCCAGGCTGCAGCCATACCCTAACCCCAGCACTATCCTCCAGGCTGCAGCCATACCCTAACCCCAGCACTATCCTCCAGGCTGCAGCCTTACCCTAACCCCAGCACTATCCTCCAGGCTGCAGCCTTACCCTAACCCCAGTACTATCCTCCAGGCTGCAGCCACAGCCCAGCCATACCCTAACCCCAGTACTATCCTCCAGGCTGCAGCCACAGCCCAGCCATACCCTAACCCCAGCACTATCCTCCAGGCTGCAGCCATACCCTATCCCCAGCACTATCCTCCAGGCTGCAGCCATACCCTAACCCCAGTACTATCCTCCAGGCTGCAGCCATACCCTAACCCCAGCACTATCCTCCAGGCTGCAGCCATACCCTAACCCCAGCACTATCCTCCAGGCTGCAGCCATACCCTAACCCCAGCACTATCCTCCAGGCTGCAGCCACAGCCAAGCCATACCCTAACCCCAGCACTATCCTCCAGGCTGCAGCCACAGCCCAGCCATACCCTAACCCCAGTATTATCCTCCAGGCTGCAGCCATACCCTAACCCCAGCACTATCCTCCAGGCTGCAGCCACAGCCCAGCCATACCCTAACCCCAGCACTATCCTCCAGGCTGCAGCCACAGCCCAGCCATACCCTAACCCCAGCACTATCCTCCAGGCTGCAGCCATACCCTAACCCCAGCCCTATCCTCCAGGCTGCAGCCACAGCCCAGCCATACCCTAACCCCAGCCATACCCAGCCAGCAGAGTAGACATCCTGGGACTCCATATTTCAGCAGTTGCCTGGTGCAATGGAGCCAACGTAATGGATCCGAAAAAATGCAACTCTGCACCTCCAGACAGGCTCAAGTCTCTGAAAGAAAACAAACACTATTTGAACCCAGGTCTTCTTTACTCACCCTCCACTCCCAGACGCTGACGGTCATGTCGTGCTGGTAGCCTACAGACACGATGTAGCTGCTGTTTGTGGAGAAGGCCACACAGGCCACCCCGTACTTATGGCACTGCACCTCCGCCACCTGGGCCCGCTCTGCCACGTCCCACACCCGCACACACGGCATGTGACCACTCTGCAGAGACAGAAACACCGGGTCAATGAGTGGAGCAGAACCGAAGGGACAGCCAGGGGGGGGGGGGGGGGGGGGGGGGTGAAGCTGAATGCCACGGCAACTGGTCTGACAGTTGATGGAGCTGAAAACCAGAGCATTTGAGAAACTGTTGAGTGGCAACAATTAACCTCCAAAATAAGAAAAATGTAAAGTTAAATCAACATTCGGGGTTAAAAGCATTGGTGCCAGTAACCAAAGGTCCGCTGGTTCAAATCCCTGAGCCGACTACGTGAAAAATCTGTCGATGTGCCCTTGAGCAAGGCACTTAACCCCAATTGCTCCTGTAAGTCGTTCTGGATAAGAGCGTCTGTTAAATTATTAAAATGTTCAAATGAACCTTTATCAAAGAACGGGGGAGGAATGTAGAGTAGATCAGAGAAGTTTAGAGCTTGGAGTATATTACACTAGGAAGTGAGGAGCTTGGAGTATATTACACTAGGAAGTTTAGAGCTTGGAGTATATTACACTAGGAAGTGAGGAGCTTGGAGTATATTACACTAGGAAGTTTAGAGCTTGGAGTATATTACACTAGGAAGTGAGGAGCTTGGAGTATATTACACTAGGAAGTTTAGAGCTTGGAGTATATTACACTAGGAAGTGAGGAGCTTGGAGTATATTACACTAGGAAGTGAGGAGCTTGGAGTATATTACACTAGGAAGTGAGGAGCTTGGAGTATATTACACTAGGACGTGAGGAGCTTGGAGTATATTACACTAGGACGTGAGGAGCTTGGAGTATATTACACTAGGAAGTGAGGAGCTTGGAGTATATTACACTAGGAAGTGAGGAGCTTGGAGTATATTACACTAGGAAGTGAGGAGCTTGGAGTATATTACACTAGGAAGTGAGGAGCTTGGAGTATATTACACTAGGACGTGAGGAGCTTGGAGTATATTACACTAGGAAGTTTAGAGCTTGGAGTATATTACACTAGGAAGTGAGGAGCTTGGAGTATATTACACTAGGAAGTTTAGAGCTTGGAGTATATTACACTAGGAAGTGAGGAGCTTGGAGTATATTACACTAGGAAGTTTAGAGCTTGGAGTATATTACACTAGGAAGTGAGGAGCTTGGAGTATATTACACTAGGAAGTGAGGAGCTTGGAGTATATTACACTAGGAAGTGAGGAGCTTGGAGTATATTACACTAGGACGTGAGGAGCTTGGAGTATATTACACTAGGACGTGAGGAGCTTGGAGTATATTACACTAGGAAGTGAGGAGCTTGGAGTATATTACACTAGGACGTGAGGAGCTTGGAGTATATTACACTAGGAAGTGAGGAGCTTGGAGTATATTACACTAGGAAGTGAGGAGCTTGGAGTATATTACACTAGGAAGTGAGGAGCTTGGAGTATATTACACTAGGAAGTGAGGAGCTTGGAGTATATTACACTAGGAAGTTTAGAGCTTGGGAGTATATTACACTAGGAAGTTTAGAGCTTGGAGTATATTACACTAGGAAGTGAGGAGCTTGGAGTATATTACACTAGGAAGTGAGGAGCTTGGAGTATATTACACTAGGAAGTTTAGAGCTTGGAGTATATTACACTAGGAAGTTTAGAGCTTGGAGTATATTACACTAGGAAGTTTAGAGCTTGGAGTATATTACACTAGGAAGTGAGGAGCTTGGAGTATATTACACTAGGAAGTGAGGAGCTTGGAGTATATTACACTAGGAAGTGAGGAGCTTGGAGTATATTACACTAGGAAGTTTAGAGCTTGGAGTATATTACACTAGGAAGTGAGGAGCTTGGAGTATATTACACTAGGAGGTTTAGAGCTTGGAGTATATTACACTAGGAAGTGAGGAGCTTGGAGTATATTACACTAGGAAGTGAGGAGCTTGGAGTATATTACACTAGAAGTGAGGAGCTTGGAGTATATTACACTAGGAAGTGAGGAGCTTGGAGTATATTACACTAGGAAGTGAGGAGCTTGGAGTATATTACACTAGGAAGTTTAGAGCTTGGAGTATATTACACTAGGAAGTGAGGAGTTGAGGAGCTGATATTACACTAGGAAGTGAGGAGCTTGGAGTATATTACACTAGGAAGTTTAGAGCTTGGAGTATATTACACTAGGAAGTGAGGAGCTTGGAGTATATTACACTAGGAAGTGAGGAGCTTGGAGTATATTACACTAGGAAGTGAGGAGCTTGGAGTATATTACACTAGGAAGTGAGGAGCTTGGAGTATATTACCACTAGGGAAGTGAGGAGCTTGGAGTATATTACACTAGGAAGTGAGGAGCTTGGAGTATATTACACTAGGAAGTGAGGAGCTTGGAGTATATTACACTAGGAAGTTTAGAGCTTGGAGTATATTACACTAGGAAGTTTAGAGCTTGGAGTATATTACACTAGGAAGTTTAGAGCTTGGAGTATATTACACTAGGAAGTTTAGAGCTTGGAGTATATTACACTAGGAAGTGAGGAGCTTGGAGTATATTACACTAGGAAGTGAGGAGCTTGGAGTATATTACACTAGGAAGTTTAGAGCTTGGAGTATATTACACTAGGAAGTTTAGAGCTTGGAGTATATTACACTAGGAAGTGAGGAGCTTGGAGTATATTACACTAGGAAGTGAGGAGCTTGGAGTATATTACACTAGGAAGTGAGGAGCTTGGAGTATATTACACTAGGAAGTGAGGAGCTTGGAGTATATTACACTAGGAAGTTTAGAGCTTGGAGTATATTACACTAGGAAGTGAGGAGCTTGGAGTATATTACACTAGGAAGTTTAGAGCTTGGAGTATATTACACTAGGAAGTGAGGAGCTTGGAGTATATTACACTAGGAAGTGATGAGCTTGGAGTATATTACACTAGGAAGTGAGGAGCTTGGAGTATATTACACTAGGAAGTGAGGAGCTTGGAGTATATTACACTAGGAAGTTTAGAGCTTGGAGTATATTACACTAGGAAGTTTAGAGCTTGGAGTATATTACACTAGGAAGTGAGGAGCTTGGAGTATATTACACTAGGAAGTGAGGAGCTTGGAGTATATTACACTAGGAAGTGAGGAGCTTGGAGTATATTACACTAGGAAGTGAGGAGCTTGGAGTATATTACACTAGGAAGTGAGGAGCTTGGAGTATATTACACTAGGAAGTTTAGAGCTTGGAGTATATTACACTAGGAAGTGAGGAGCTTGGAGTATATTACACTAGGAAGTGAGGAGCTTGGAGTATATTACACTAGGAAGTTTAGAGCTTGGAGTATATTACACTAGGAAGTGAGGAGCTTGGAGTATATTACACTAGGAAGTGAGGAGCTTGGAGTATATTACACTAGGAAGTGAGGAGCTTGGAGTATATTACACTAGGAAGTGAGGAGCTTGGAGTATATTACACTAGGAAGTGAGGAGCTTGGAGTATATTACACTAGGAAGTGAGGAGCTTGGAGTATATTACACTAGGAAGTGAGGAGCTTGGAGTATATTACACTAGGAAGTGAGGAGCTTGGAGTATATTACACTAGGAAGTTTAGAGCTTGGAGTATATTACACTAGGAAGTTTAGAGCTTGGAGTATATTAAACTAGGAAGTTTAGAGCTTGGAGTATATTACACTAGGAAGTGAGGAGCTTGGAGTATATTACACTAGGAAGTTTAGAGCTTGGAGTATATTACACTAGGAAGTTTAGAGCTTGGAGTATATTACACTAGGAAGTTTAGAGCTTGGAGTATATTACACTAGGAAGTGAGGAGCTTGGAGTATATTACACTAGGAAGTTTAGAGCTTGGAGTATATTACACTAGGAAGTTTAGAGCTTGGAGTATATTACACTAGGAAGTTTAGAGCTTGGAGTATATTACACTAGGAAGTGAGGAGCTTGGAGTATATTACACTAGGAGGTGAGGAGCTTGGAGTATATTACACTAGGAAGTGAGGAGCTTGGAGTATATTACACTAGGAAGTTTAGAGCTTGGAGTATATTACACTAGGAAGTGAGGAGCTTGGAGTATATTACACTAGGAAGTTTAGAGCTTGGAGTATATTACACTAGGAAGTTTAGAGCTTGGAGTATATTACACTAGGAAGTTTAGAGCTTGGAGTATATTACACTAGGAAGTTTAGAGCTTGGAGTATATTACACTAGGAAGTGAGGAGCTTGGAGTATATTACACTAGGAAGTGAGGAGCTTGGAGTATATTACACTAGGAAGTGAGGAGCTTGGAGTATATTACACTAGGAAGTTTAGAGCTTGGAGTATATTACACTAGGAAGTGAGGAGCTTGGAGTATATTACACTAGGAAGTTTAGAGCTTGGAGTATATTACACTAGGAAGTGAGGAGCTTGGAGTATATTACACTAGGAAGTGAGGAGCTTGGAGTATATTACACTAGGAAGTGAGGAGCTTGGAGTATATTACACTAGGAAGTGAGGAGCTTGGAGTATATTACACTAGGAAGTGAGGAGCTTGGAGTATATTACACTAGGAAGTGAGGAGCTTGGAGTATATTACACTAGGAAGTTTAGAGCTTGGAGTATATTACACTAGGAAGTGAGGAGCTTGGAGTATATTACACTAGGAAGTGAGGAGCTTGGAGTATATTACACTAGGAAGTGAGGAGCTTGGAGTATATTACACTAGGAAGTGAGGAGCTTGGAGTATATTACACTAGGAAGTGAGGAGCTTGGAGTATATTACACTAGGAAGTGAGGAGCTTGGAGTATATTACACTAGGAAGTGAGGAGCTTGGAGTATATTACACTAGGAAGTGAGGAGCTTGGAGTATATTACACTAGGAAGTGAGGAGCTTGGAGTATATTACACTAGGAAGTTTAGAGCTTGGAGTATATTACACTAGGAAGTTTAGAGCTTGGAGTATATTACACTAGGAAGTGAGGAGCTTGGAGTATATTACACTAGGAAGTGAGGAGCTTGGAGTATATTACACTAGGAAGTTTAGAGCTTGGAGTATATTACACTAGGAAGTTTAGAGCTTGGAGTATATTACACTAGGAAGTTTAGAGCTTGGAGTATATTACACTAGGAAGTTTAGAGCTTGGAGTATATTACACTAGGAAGTGAGGAGCTTGGAGTATATTACACTAGGAAGTGAGGAGCTTGGAGTATATTACACTAGGAAGTGAGGAGCTTGGAGTATATTACACTAGGAAGTTTAGAGCTTGGAGTATATTACACTAGGAAGTGAGGAGCTTGGAGTATATTACACTAGGAAGTTTAGAGCTTGGAGTATATTACACTAGGAAGTGAGGAGCTTGGAGTATATTACACTAGGAAGTGATGAGCTTGGAGTATATTACACTAGGAAGTGAGGAGCTTGGAGTATATTACACTAGGAAGTGAGGAGCTTGGAGTATATTACACTAGGAAGTTTAGAGCTTGGAGTATATTACACTAGGAAGTTGAGGAGCTTGGAGTATATTACACTAGGAAGTGAGGAGCTTGGAGTATATTACACTAGGAAGTTAGAGCTTGGAGTATATTACACTAGGAAGTGAGGAGCTTGGAGTGGAGTATATTACACTAGGAAGTGAGGAGCTTGGAGTATATTACACTAGGAAGTGAGGAGCTTGGAGTATATTACACTAGGAAGTGAGGAGCTGGAGATATTACACTAGGAAGTGAGGAGCTTGGAGTATATTACACTAGGAAGTGAGGAGCTTGGAGTATATTACACTAGGAAGTGAGGAGCTTGGAGTATATTACACTAGGAAGTTTAGAGCTTGGAGTATATTACACTAGGAAGTTTAGAGCTTGGAGTATATTACACTAGGAAGTTTAGAGCTTGTAGTATATTACACTAGGAAGTGAGGAGCTTGGAGTATATTACACTAGGAAGTGAGGAGCTTGGAGTATATTACACTAGGAAGTTTAGAGCTTGGAGTATATTACACTAGGAAGTTTAGAGCTTGGAGTATATTACACTAGGAAGTTTAGAGCTTGGAGTATATTACACTAGGAAGTGAGGAGCTTGGAGTATATTACACTAGGAAGTGAGGAGCTTGGAGTATATTACACTAGGAAGTGAGGAGCTTGGAGTATATTACACTAGGAAGTTTAGAGCTTGGAGTATATTACACTAGGAAGTGAGGAGCTTGGAGTATATTACACTAGGAAGTTTAGAGCTTGGAGTATATTACACTAGGAAGTGAGGAGCTTGGAGTATATTACACTAGGAAGTGAGGAGCTTGGAGTATATTACACTAGGAAGTGAGGAGCTTGGAGTATATTACACTAGGAAGTGAGGAGCTTGGAGTATATTACACTAGGAAGTTTAGAGCTTGGAGTATATTACACTAGGAAGTTTAGAGCTTGGAGTATATTACACTAGGAAGTGAGGAGCTTGGAGTATATTACACTAGGAAGTGAGGAGCTTGGAGTATATTACACTAGGAAGTGAGGAGCTTGGAGTATATTACACTAGGAAGTTTAGAGCTTGGAGTATATTACACTAGGAAGTGAGGAGCTTGGAGTATATTACACTAGGAAGTGAGGAGCTTGGAGTATATTACACTAGGAAGTGAGGAGCTTGGAGTATATTACACTAGGAAGTGAGGAGCTTGGAGTATATTACACAAGGAAGTTTAGAGCTTGGAGTATATTACACTAGGAAGTGAGGAGCTTGGAGTATATTACACTAGGAAGTGAGGAGCTTGGAGTATATTACACTAGGAAGTTTAGAGCTTGGAGTATATTACACTAGGAAGTGAGGAGCTTGGAGTATATTACACTAGGAAGTGAGGAGCTTGGAGTATATTACACTAGGAAGTTTAGAGCTTGGAGTATATTACACTAGGAAGTGAGGAGCTTGGAGTATATTACACTAGGAAGTGAGGCCTGGCCCAGCCTAATCATAGCTCAACAAGGAGCAGTACATCTTTGTTGCAAAAACAAACTAAAAATAGATTTTTACTACTACAGGACTGAGGAACAGGCCGGGCCATGACAAAAGACCTGCCTCAGATATTAATAATGGTTCCTTTAAAATGGTGAAATATGGAAAAACCGCTCCGCCATTTCCTGGTTGCTAAAATTCTAAAACTTAAGGGAAGCACATAGAACAGAATTTGGGTCGGGTTGTCTAAAAAGATCAAAAGCAGCTTTAAGAACGGTCTCATATTAATATGGTTCCTTTAAAAGGACAATTCCGCCACTTTATAACAAGTTCTCATGCTGTTAGTATACACCGTGTACAAAACATTAAGAACAACTGCTCTTTCCATGACAGACTGACCAGGTGAACCAAGGTGAAAGCTATGATCCCTTCTCCACTTCAATCAGTGTAGATGAAGGGGAGGCGACAGGTTTAATAAGGATTTTCTAAGACTTAAAAGAATTGAGACATGGATTGTGTATGTGTGCCATTCAGAGGGCGAAACAAAGGATAGAAGTGCCTTTGAACGGGATATGTTAGTAGGTGCCAGGCGCACCGGTTTGAGTGTGTCAAGAACTGCAACGCTGCTGGGCTTCACGCATTGCAGTTTCCTGGTGAGTATCAAGAATGGTCCACCACCCAAAGGAAATCCAGCCAACTTGACACAACTGTGGGAAGCATTGGGAGTCAACATGGGGCCAGCATCCCTGTGGAAACGCTTTCAACAAATTGTATTCCATGCCCCGACGAATTGAGGCTGAATGTGTTCCTAATGTTTCGAACACTCAGTGTATATGCACTACTGTAAGATTTGATACACATTGATGTTATTGTTGTCGTTAGTCATACATTCTTAGTTTTTGTCATTTTGAAGCCTCTGTATTGCCCTCGTCTACAGCATACTCTCCCAGTGCTGTCCCTAGTTCGCCTGCAGTTAGCTTAGCTAACCCTCGTCTACAGCATACTCTCCCAGTGCTGTCCCTAGTTCGCCTGCAGTTAGCTTAGCTAGCCCTCGTCTACAGCATACTCTCCCAGTGCTGTCCCTAGTTCGCCTGCAGTTAGCTTAGCTAGCCCTCGTCTACAGCATACTCTCCCAGTGCTGTCCCTAGTTCGCCTGTAGTTAGCTTAGCTAGCTGGCTATCAAGCCCAGACAAAGCTTAGTCTAAATATATTATTTACGTCATAAGTTATGAGGACATTTCACATTACTTTTGGGTTGTAAATGTATTATATAATGCTTGCATGAATGTCATACTGAATACATGTTCATGCCATTGTGATGAACTTCACAGGGTGGTGAAAGTGCACGGTGATGAGCTGGACGCTCCTTTCAATAAGTACCAAGGGTCTTCTGATTCTGGTGACATGATCGATGCTCGACTGCCGTTTGACAAATACAAATATTCTCGCTCTTATCCATAATACCGTAATCTCATCATGTAGACTAGTTTACCTGCACTGTATCTGTGAGCGGTTGGCTGGAGCGCACGTGACAAGACCGTTGATATTTAACGCAACAGTTTGTGACAAAACTATCGGTAGAGTTGAAAACTTTAGATGTTTTATTCGGTACATAAAAACTTAAGCCAAAATGCACATTGTGCACAATGTCTTCATACACTAACCATAACACCGTTACTGTATATGTACAGTTGAAGTCGTAAGTTTAAGTACACTTAGGTTGGAGTCATTTAGGTTGGAGTCACTTAGGTTGGAGTCAACATTTCTTGTTAACGAACTATAGTTTTGGCAAGTCGGTTAGGACATCTACTTTGTGCATGACACAAGTAATTTTTCAAACAATTGTTTACAGACAGATTATTTCACTTATAATTCACTGTATCACAATTCCAGTGGGTCAGAAGTTTACATACACTAAGTTGACTGTGCCTTTAAACAGCTTGGAAAATTCCAGAAAATGATGTCATGGCTTTAGAAGCTTCTGATAGGCTAATTGACATTATTTTAGTCAATTGGAGGTGTACCTGTGGATGTATTTCAAGGCCTACCTTCAAACTCAGTGCCTCTTTGCCTTACATCATGGGAAAATCAAAGGAAATCAGCCAAGACCTCAGGAAAGAAATTGTAGACCTCCACAAGTCTGGTTCATCCTTGGGAGCAATTTTTCAAATGCCTGAAGGTTCCTAGTTCATCTGTACAAACAATAGTACGCAAGTATAAACACCATGGGACCACACTGCCGTCATACCGCTCAGGAAGGAGACGCGTTCTGTCTCCTAGAGATGAACGTACTTTGGTGTGAAAAGTGCAAATCAATCCCAGAACAGCAGCAAAGGACCTTGTGAAGGTGCTGGAGGAAACAGGTACAAACGTATCTATATCCACAGTCAAACGAGTCCTATATCGACATAACCTGAAAGGCTGCTCAGAAAGGAAGAAGCCACTGCTCCAAAACCACCATAAAAAAGCCAGACTATGGTTTGCAACTGCAAATGGGGACAAAGATCGTACTTTTTGGAGAAATGTCCTCTGGTCTGATGAAACAAAAATAGAACTGTTTGGCCATAATGACCATCGTTATGTTTGGAGGAAAAAGGGGGTCGCTTGCAAGCCAAAGAACACCATCCCAACCGTGAAGCATGGGGGTGGCAGCATCATGCTGTGGGGGTGCTTTGCTGCAGGAGGGACTGGTGCACTTCACAAAATAGATGGCATCATGAGGAAGGAAAATGTATGTGGATATATTGAAGCAACATCTCAAGACATCAGTCAGGAAGTTAAAGCTTGGTCGCAAATGGGTCTTCCAAATGGACAATGACCCCAAGCATATTTCCAAAGTTGTGGCAAAATGGCTTAAGGACAACATAGTCAACGTATTGGAGTGGCCATCACAAAGCCCTGACCTCAATCCTCCTATACATTTTGGGCAGAACTGAAAACATTTGATCCAAGTTAAACAATTGCAAGGCAATGCTACCAAATACTAATTGAGTGTATGTAAACTCCTGACCCACTGGGAATGTGACGAAAGAAATAAAAGCTGAAATAAATAATTCTCTCTACTATTATTCTGACATTTCACATTCTTAAAATAAAGTGGTGATCCTAACTGACCTAAGACAGGGCATTTTTACTAGGATTAAAATGTCAGGAATTGTGAAAAACTGAGTTTAAATGTATTTGGCTAAGGTGTAAGTAAACTTCCGACTTCAACTGTAGTTAGCATGCTAGCTAGCCCGTCTGCTAACGTTACATCCAAAATAGTGTTTGCAACAATAACATCTTTGGTGATAACATTAGCAATGCTAGCTAGCTAAGTAACTAAACCGGCTGCATCTGAAATAAAGTGTTTGCAACGATAAGACAAATACAGCCTCGGTGACTGTCCAAGCAACGATCCAACGCTGGAGGCCTATTGGAACTAAGAAAAAGTATGAAGTTTACAAGTTATTCAATACGAAAATATAGGCCATTTGGAAAAGGCACAATGGCTGCCGGAACTGCAACTTCAGTCGGGACACAATCTTTTCAAACCACTTCGATACAAAGTGATTTTCATAGCAGGTTTCGAGAGCAATTTCGCTAACCCGAACCTTAACCCTTTTCCTAACTTTAACCTCAGTCTTCTAACCTGCTGCATAAGTTCTCCTAACCTGCAACGAAAAAGTCACTCCGGTATCGAAGTGGCGTTTAAAGAGTGAAGTCGGTCAGTGATGTTGAGCGGGTTGGCCGAATGGAAACATGGAAGTTTGAGCTTTGAACAACAGAAAAAGTAAGTAAGCTGACAAAAAATATCATTCTACAGGTTTTGGAGAGTCTATTTAAAATAATTTCCAGATGTTATTAGAAAAAGACAACCGGAGCAAAAGTGCATTCGGAAAGTATTCAGACCCCTTGACTTTTTCAACATTTTGTTAAGTTAAAGCCTTATTCTAAAATGGATTAAATTGTTTACTTTCCCCTCATCAACCTACACAAAATACCATAATGACAAACCAAAAACAGATTTTTAGAAAATGTGCTAACTTATTAAAATAATTAACTGAAATATCACATTTACATAAGTATTCAGACCCTTTACTCAGTACTTTGTTGGCAGCGATTACAGCCTCAAGTCTTCTTGGGTATGACGTTACAAACTTGACACACCTGAATGCATTACCTGGCGCTGACGAAGATGGCGGCCTCTCGACTAGCTCTTAGGAAACTTTGCAGTATTTTGTTTTTTATGTAATATTTTTTACATTATTAGCTCAGAAAGTGTTTTGCATCATTACATACAGCCGGGAAAAACTATTGGATATCAGAGCGGCGGTAACTCACCAGCATTACGACCAGGAATACGACCTTCCCGAAGCAGATCCAATAGAACTGATTCCAGCAGCTGACCCATAACATCGGCGGCAGAGGAGTGGCACTCGGAGCGGCCTGCTGGTCCGACTTAGGAGGCGCGCACACCACCGCTTCCAAGTATTCTACTCGCTAATCTTTCATCTTTGGTTAAAGTCGAAGAACTACGGACAAGGATTTCTTTCCAGAGAGACATCAAGGCCTGTAACATACTGTTTCACGGAAACATGGCTTTTTTTGGGATATTCTGTCGAAATCGGTCCAGCCAGATGGGTTCTCAGTTCATCGCGCAGACAGCAATAAATATCTCTCAAGGAGGCAGAAGGGCGGAGGTGTGTATTTCATGATTAACAACTCGTGGTGTAATTGTAGTAACAGAGGAACTTGAGTCCTTCTGTTCACCTGACCTAGAATATCTCAATCAAATGCAGACCGTATTATCTCCCAAGAGAATATTCTTTGGTTATAGTCACGGCCGTGTATATCCCCCCCTCAAGCCGATACCACGACGGCCCTCAAAGAACTTCACTGGACCTTATGCAAACTGGAAACCTCATATCCTGAGGCTGCATTTATTGTAGCCGGGGATTTTAACAAAGCAAATTTGAGGACTAGGCTGCCGAAGTTCTATCAACATATTGACTGTTGTACTCGCGCTGCTAAAATTCTCGACCATTGCTATTCAAACTTCCGGGATGGTTATAAGGCCCTCCCCCGCCCTCCTTTCGGCAAATCTGACCACGACTCCATTTTGCTTCTCTCTTCCTAAAGGCAGAAACTCAAACAGGAAGTAACCGTGCTAAGGACAATTCAACGCTGGTCTGACCAATCAGAATACATGCTTCAAGATTGTTTTATTCACGCGGACTGGGATGCGTTCCGGGTAGCTTCCGAAAATAATTTTGACATGAAACCGTGACGGAGTTTATCAGGAAGTGTATAGGTGATGTTGTGCCCACTGTGACTATTAAAACCTACCCTAACCAGAAACCGTGGATAGACGGCAGCATTCGCGCAAATCTGAAAGCGCAAACCACCGCATTCAACCATGGCAAGGTGACTGGGAATATGGCAGAATACAAACAGTGTAGCTACTCACTCCGCAAGGCAATTAAACTGGCAAAACATCAATATAGAGACAAAGTGGAGTCGCAATTCAACGGCTCAGACACAAGACATATGTGGCAGGATCTACAGACAATCACAGACTACAAAAGGAAAACAAGCCACGTCGCCGACACTGACGTCTCGCTTCCAGACAAGCTAAACACCTTCTTCGCCGGCTTTGAGGATAACACAGTGCCACTGACGAGACCCACTACCAAGGACTGTCGCCTCTCCTTCTCCATGGCCGACGTGATTAAGACATTTAAGCATGTTAAGCTCCGCAAGGCTGCCAGCCCAGACGGCATCCCTAGCCGCGTCCTCAGAGCATGCGCGTCAAGGTAGGAAACAACATCTCCACTTCGCTGATCCTCAACACTGGGGCCCCACAAGGGTGCGTGCTCGGCCCCCTCCTGTACTCCCTGTTCACCCATGACTGCATGGCCAAGCACTCATCAAGTTTGCAGACGACACAACAGTAGTAGGCTTGATTACCAACAATGACGAGACTGCCTACAGGGAGGAGATGAGGGCTCTCGGAATGTGGTGCCAGGAAAATAACCTCTCACTCAACATCAACAAAACAAAGGAGATGATCGTGGACTTCAGGAAAGAGCAGAGGGTGCACCCCCCTATCCACATCGACGGGACCGCAGTGGAGAAGGTGGAAAGCTTCAAGTTCCTTGGTGTACACATCACCAACAAACTGAAATGGTCCACCCACGCAGACAGTGTGGTGAAGAAGGTGAAACAGAGCCTCTTCAACCTCAGGAGGCTGAAGAAATTCGGCTTAGCACCTAAAACCCTCACAAACTTTTACAGATGCACAATTGAGAGCATCCTGTCGGGCTGTATCACCGCCTGGTACGGCAACTGCACCGCCCACAACCGCAGGGCTCTCCAAAGGGTGGTGCGGTCTGCCAAACGCATTACCGGGGGCAAACTACCCGCCCTCCAAGACACATACAGCACCCAATGTCACAGGAAGGCCAAAAAGATCATCAACCACCCGAGCCACTGCCTGTTCACCCCGCTATCATCCAGAAGGCGAGATCAGTACAGGTGCATCAAAGCTGGGACTGAGAGAATGAAAAACAGCTTCTATCTCAAGGCCATCAGACTGTTAAATAGCCTTCACTAGCACATTAGATGCTGCTGCTGCCTATTGAAATCACTGGCCACTTTAAGAAATGGAACACTAGTCACTTTAATAATGTTTACATATCTTGCACTACTCATCTCATATGTATATACTGCATTCTATTCTATACTATTCTACTGTATCTTAGTCCATGCCGCTCTGTCATTGCTTGTCCATATATGTATATATTCTTAAATCCCATTCCTTACTTGTTTGTGTGTATTGGGATGTAGCTCAGTTGGTAGAACATGGCGTTTGCAACGCCAGGGTTGTGGGTTCGATTCCCACGGGGGGCCAGTATGAAAAAAATAATAATAATGTATGCACTCCCTAACTGTAAGTCGCTCTGGATAAGAGCATCTGCTAAATGACTAAAAAGTAAATGTATTGGGTATATGTTGTGTAATTGTTAGATATTACTGCACTGTCGGAGCTAGAAGCACAAGCATTTCGCTATAACATCTGCTAAACACGTGTATGTGACAAATACAATTTGAATTGATTTGTATTTGGGGAGTTTCTCCCATTCTTCTCTGCAGATCCTCTCAAGATCTGTTAGGTTGGATGGGGAGCTTCGCTGCACAGCTATTTTCAGGTCTCTCCAGAGATGTTCGATCTGGTTCAAGTCCGCGCTCTGGCTGGGCCACTCAAGGACATTCAGAGACTCATCCCGAAGCCACTCCTGCGTTGTCTTGGCTGTGTGCTTAGGGTCGTTGTCCTGTTGGAAAGTGAACCTTCGACCCCAGTCTGAGGTCCTGAACGCTCTGGAGCAGGTTTTCATCAAGTATCTCTTTACTTTGCTCCATTCAACTTTCCCTCGATCCTGACTAGTCTCCCAGTCCCCACTGCTGAAAAACATCCCCACAGCATGACGCTGCCACCACCATGCTTCACCGTAGGGATGGTGCAAAGTTTCCTGCAGATGTGTCGCTTGGCATTCATTTACATTTAAGTCATGCAGCAGACGCTCTTATCCAGAGCGACTTACAGTTAGTGAGTGCATACATTATTTTATTTTTTCATACTGGCCCCCCGTGGGAATCGAACCCACAACCCTGGCGTTGCAAACGACATGCTCTACCAACTGAGCTACATCCCTGCCGGCCATTCCCTCCCCTACCCTGGGCCAATTGTGCGCCGCCCCATGGGTGGCATTCAGACCAAAGAGTTAAATCTTGGTTTCATCAGACCAGAGAATCTTGTTTCTCATGGTCTGAGAGTCCTTTAGGTTCCTTTTGGCAAACTCCAAGTGGGCTGTCATGTGCCTTTTACTGAGGACTGGCTTCCGTCTGACCACTCTACCACAAAGGCCTGATTGGTGGAGGGCTGCAGAGATTGTTGTCCTTCTGGAAGGTTCTCCCATCTCCATAGAGGAACTCATTCAGAGTGACCATTGGGTTATTGGTCACCTCCTTGACCAAGGCCCTTCTCCCCCAATTGCTCAGTTTGGCCAGGCGGCCAGCTCTAGGAAGAGTCTTGGTGGTTCCAAACGTCTTCCATTTAAGAATGATGGATGCCACTGTGTTCTTGGGGACCTTCAATGCTGCAGAAATGTTTTGGTACCCTTGCCCAGAGCTGTGCCTCAACACAATCCTGTCTCAGAGCTCAACGGACAACAATTCCTTCGACCTCATGGCTTGGTTTTTGCTTTGACATGCACTGTCAACTGTGGGACCTCCAAATCATGTCTAATCAATTGAATTTACCACAGGTGGACTCCAATCAAGTTGTAAAAACATCTCAAGGATGATCAATGGAAACAGGATGCACCTGAGCTTAATTTCGAGTCTCATAGCAAAGGGTCTGAATACTTATGTAAATAATCTGTTTATTTTTAATAAATGTGCTAATATTTCTAAAAACCTGTTTTCGTTTAGTCATTATAGGATATTGTGTGTAGATTGATGAGGACATTTTTTTTTTTTTTTACTCCATTTTAGAATAAGGCTGTAACGAAACAGAATGTGGAAAAAGTCAAGGGGTCTGAATACTTGCCGAATGCGCTGTAGCTACAGTAGTACTGTATTGCAGGGAGTTCCAATATGATCAGATTCTTTATTTTTTATCTCAAGGATCCTACTTGAAAATGTCACAGAGAAGCAATCTCTGGTTTTGCTCATCACTAAACAGTCAATAGACATGAAATCATAAAATTACACTAAAACTGTGTAGGACATCACTAAATACTTCATAATAACAACCCAAATGTTAAAAAAGTGGCGGAGTTGTCCTTTAAGAACAAATCAAATCAAATGTTATTGGTCACATGCGCCGAATACAACAGGTGCAGACATTACAGTGAAATGCTTACTTACAGCCCTTAACCAACAGTGCCATTTTAAACGTTTTTTGCCAACAACACCTTAGTGTACATCATGGAATGTTGAGTCAAATAGAACCTATTTATATAAAACCTCTTATGAAGTTGGTACTGCAGCAGAAACTGGAAATTCGATATTTTGTACTTGTATGATTGTCTGTTTGGTTCATATCTGCAAAGTAGTTAAAACGCTGTCAGTTCCACTTTAAGAACTGTCCAATATTACTAGGATTACTTTAAGAACAGGTCACATATTAACATGGTTCCTTTAAGAACAGGTCACATATTAACATGGTTCCTTTAAGAACAGGTCACATATTAACATGGTTCCTTTAAGAACAGGTCACATATTAACATGGTTCCTTTAAGAACAGGTCACATATTAACATGGTTCCTTTAAGAACAGGTCACATATTAACATGGTTCCTTTAAGAACAGGTCACATATTAACATGGTTCCTTTAAGAACAGGTCACATATTAACATGGTTCCTTTAAGAACAGGTCACATATTAACATGGTTCCTTTAAGAACAGGTCACATATTAACATGGTTCCTTTAAGAACAGGTCACATATTAACATGGTTCCTTTAAGAACAGGTCACATATTAACATGGTTCCTTTAAGAACTGTGGAAGAAGCCTACAGGTCATAACAACTGTAGGCTACACCCCCTATCACCACTGGCAACAGTACAGTCAGACAGAGAGCAGACAACCACAGACCACCGAGGGCAAGCCAGGAGGGCTCCTATATATCACACCCCCTATCACCACTGGCAACAGTACAGTCAGACAGAGAGCAGACAACCACGGACCACCGAGGGCAAGCCAGGAGGGCTCGTATATATCAGTTACTGTGACAACAAGTCGAATTTACAGCATGACCTGGTCTACAGCAGCACAACAGCTTTTATATAACCATCAACCAATTAGAACACACGTTAGTCCATCGTCTCACTGACTGTTATACAAATACAGCAAAGTGCATATACACACCAACCAACATTTTTTTTCTTCCTGAACATTTCCAAACACTTACCTCACCAGTGACCAAATACTTTCCATCCTGCGAGAAGGCCAAGGCGGTGAAGGTTTTTCTGGGAAACACAAACAGACAAGAGAATTAATGAGAGAGAGGAGAGGGCTGAGGCTGGGCTGACATTTACATTAGGGAGAACATTTTACTCGGCAGCAATCCAATAGGGATTTAAACTCAAGTTTAAAAAGGTTCAGACATTTTAACTCCGAGTTACCCCCTGACACATGCATGTAAGCTAAGTACTTTAACTGTTTTATGACCTCCTGGAGAACAGTGAAAGTTCTGTTAGTCTGAACGTAGCTATAATGTGATATTTTTAACTTCACTACTCCCACCTCACATACACTGTAGCTACATAGCATCAACAACAGAACGCAGCATGTTCCAGGCATGTTCCAGGCATGTTCCAGGCATGTTCCAGGCTGCGGCACAGTAACAGAGAGACCACGGTACCGTCCAACAACGTGTAGACTAGTATGGATCCACATACCGGTATGGGTTTTTACAATACCCGTCTATAACAATATTTTGATAGTGCTAAATGAAATGAAAAGTTCTACAAAATTGGACTGTCAGTTTTGTCCTAGTTTGGCTGAGCATACAACCATCAGAATGGAGGAAGCCCATTTAAAATATCTTAGAAGTAATTTGATGCCGTTCTAAAGTCACGCACTAAATATATAAAACATACTGTATAACTTTTAACTATTCAAAAACTTAAAATACCTATCAAATATAGTGATATGATATTTTGTCCATATTGCCCAGCCCCATTATGTATTACTCGGTCTCTGTCTACCAAGTCTGTCTGGAGTCACCATGAAGAGACGGAGCAATCCCCTCCCGAGTACAGAGGACTCGATCTACGTGATGGATTGTGGAAGTTGCAGAATGTGTGCACGACACAAGGCTAGGACAAATCCAACGTGTACTTATCAGGAGTTATCCAACGTGTACTTATCAGGAGTTATCCAACGTGTACTTATCAGGAGTTATCCAACGTGTACTTATCAGGAGTTATCCAACGTGTACTTATCAGGAGTTATCCAACGTGTACTTATCAGGAGTTATCCAACGTGTACTTATCAGGAGTTATCCAACGTGTACTTATCAGGAGTTATCCAACGTGTACTTATCAGGAGTTATCCAACGTGTACTTATCAGGAGTTATCCAACGTGTACTTATCAGGAGTTATCCAACGTGTACTTATCAGGAGTTATCCAACGTGTACTTATCAGGAGTTATCCAACGTGTACTTATCAGGAGTTATCCAACGTGTACTTATCAGGAGTTGACTAATATGACTTCCCCCCCCCCCCCAGAGAGAAGGAGAATGATAACACAGGTCAATATTTCACCTTGAAGTATTGAGGATGTGGGTCTGTCTGTTTTTCTTTGGGTGTAGGATCACAACAACACACCTGGAACACAAACAAACTGCATAAGATGACTAGCTGCTATAACATTAGTATTTACATAATGTAGCCTATTCAACATTTACATTTTAGTCATTTAGCAGATGCTCTTATCCAGAGCGACTTACAGTTAGTGAGTGCATACATTCTTTTTTTTCATACTGCCCCCCCCCCCCCCCCCCCCCCCCCGTGGGAATCGAACCCACAACCCTGGCGTTGCAAACGCCATGCTCTACCAACTGAGCTACATCCCTGCCGGCCATTCCCTCCCCTACCCTGGATGATGCCGCCCCATGGGTCTCCAGAGCCTGGATATCCCTTTAGTAACAGGTTAGTTAGATGTCAGTCTTGGGGGGTTAGGGTTAAAGACCCACTCCAGACTCCCTAGAACCTCATTTATCACCTGATTTACTTAACAAAAGGCACATCTCAATAGGTGGTCCAGGAGTCCTCTGACATGGCACAAGTGGGGGGGGACCTTTCCTCTTTTGTCCTCAATTTCTCCTCTATTGTTCCCACAAACAAGGGGGAGGCCGATGACATCAGAGTGAAGGCCGATGACATCAGAGTGAACCATCAGACCAACTCTTTGAATTGCCAAAACACCTTGAATTTCTCAATTGAAGCCAGTGACAGGTTAGTAAGTCTTACCCTGCAGGGTAGGCCACCAGGCCGGTGTTGGGGTCACAGGCCAGCCCACTGCTGTTTGAGGTGGTGATGCCCAGGACTCGCTCCAGAACCACCTGGCACACAAATGGGCAACACTCACTGACATGATGCACAATACAACGCCACTCTAATAATGGACTAGCTACATGGGTGGGTTAGGACCATATGCGACATGTGGTTAGCTCTCTATATAGCCCTACTTACAGTTATAACAGAAAGTACAGTTATAACTATAAAGTTCCATCCAGCATGCATATGTCTCATGCATGTATTTTATATTGTGTGCATGCTTCGGGTGATAGAAATCTGAAGGCACTATAGGCACTGAAAAGTTGATGTACTTCTACTTTCCTGTGGATATATTGTCTCACATTTCTACCGCCAAAAGGACCAACCAGCACCGACAACAGGTAAATTATTTTTAAAATATAACCTCTATTAAACATTCTGGCTTGTAGAGGTCTTGAGGAAACTTTCCTGATTCAAACGCTAATTTATGCCCGACGTAGAATTCAGTGAAATTCAACGTCGGGTTTCCAGGCAAGGTAGATTGGTATTCGGTTAACGACTGTACAGATTTTATCAGCACGTTTTCCCGAGTTGGTAGGTGGTTACCGTAATCGGCAGACGGTTCTGATGGAAAGGGTAGAACCGTCTATCTATTATGGATACCTTCCAACTCGGGAAAACGTGCTGCATCGCCGAGCAGTGCCCAAGAAAGTTTTCAATACAATCGTTTGAAAAGGTCTAATAATTGGCTACCATATATAGTACTAACATATGGGCTGCTTCTTTACAGTTACTAGCTAATATTGCACGATAGTGAACACTGTCTTCGCTACCTCCTCCTAGCTGACAACAACCAGCTGATTGATGCCATGCTGGCTGGCTAACTAAGTTAGTTGAATGTTTGGCATGTGAAGAAGCCAGCCAAAAGACAAGGCAAGAAAATCCAGCTACAAGTGGCACCAATGTTACAGAGTAGAAGTTAGCTAGCCAATTTAGCTAGCTAGAAGAAATGACAATAAACATACCCGGTTGTGAGTGGTCCGCCTTTGACTTTGTTGTCGACTTTTCCGGCGCATGTTTGCGGCTGCAGGGGCAGCATTCACATTGCTAACCCTTTTTGTAACCCTGGAGGTAAATGAATTTACCCCCCCGCCATAGACCGCTCCCTCCGCCATAGTCACAGAAATTATTCAATATTTAGCCAACAAGCTGGCTACCTAGCTACTTCCCTGGCTGATAAGTCTCAAATGATGATCGCGTTTGTGGCTAACATTAGCCGAAGTTGCTCGCCAGTATTAGATCCTCATCCGTACAGCATGCAACAAAACTAGTTTTTTTGGTTAGCAATATTAAATTAACGTCAGTCTTGTCTGTTGTTTGACAGTAATATTCGCAGAGATTATTCCAATACGTTAAAAAAAAACATTTGTGATAAAATAGCTAGCGTCAAGCGGATAGACGGTTGGTGTCTTCCTTCTAGCTTCCACTGTTTAGAAACACTTCGAAAAGTACGGAAAGTCAAGAGAGATGAAACCTGACACTTTCCTTCAGCGTCGTTGCGCTGAAACGCGGGACGCAGATTCAAACATACACCGGCTTCTCTGATTGCGCTGACGCTGCGCAGAACCGACCGTGACTCTCTCCTGTGATTGGTCCTCCGTGGCAGTGACGATTGGTTTGGGAGCGTCATTTTTTTTTTTTTCGAAGCGACGTAAAACTGGATTATCATAATTAACTAACTGAATGTTTAAAATATTATGAATAAATTACAACGGAGAAAAAAAAGGATCAGTGCAAATCAATATTGTATTGTCATACGTCAAAACACAAACAAGTTGATAAGCACATTTTTCAACAAACTAACATTCTGACACAAAATAATTTTCAGCAGGGAATAAAATGACAGATTATTAAACAAAACAGAATACCATTATTAGTACATTCCCACTGTCCCCTCAGCCATTGACGGTGTATGAGTGCAAGCCCAGGGGACAACAAAACTAACTCCAGTGATATCACTTCACCTCCAGACTGACTAATGTCTCTCCAAAATAGAATAAATGACACTGACAAACACTAGCAATATAATAAGAGGTAAGGCCTGAGGGGGTGTGGTATATGGCCAATATACCACGGCTAAAGGCTGTTCTTATTAAGGGCTGATATTACGCACAACGCAACACAGTGCCTGGATACAGCCCTTAGACGTGGTATATTGGCCATATACCATAAACCCCTGAGGTGCCTTATTGCTATTATAAACTGGTTACCAACATAATTACAAGAGTAAAAATACATGTTTTGTCATACTCGTGGTATACGGTCTGATATACTATGGCTTTCAGCTAAATCAGCATTCAGGGCTGGAACAACCCAGTTTACAATAAGACCTAAGACACTAATAATATGATAAGACAGACACTAGTCCATCCAAACAGACCAGACTCCATCTTCTGATGTTCCAAGAATACACAAACTTTCTGATTTTCACATCACATAAAGTGCAGGGTCCATGTCAGCTAGATTCCTCTTCATCACTTTAGCAAGGTAACAACAACTATCCTTGTCTTCTGTTCTGGACCCTAGCCCGATCCTTCTGTTTCTGTTCTGGACCCTAGCCCCATCCTTCTGTTTCTGTTCTGGACCCATCCTTCTGTTTCTGTTCTGGACCCTAGCCCCATCCTTCGGTTTCTGTTCTGGACCCTAGCCCCATCCTTCTGTTTCTGTTCTGGACCCTAGCCCCATCCAGTCTCTGGACTGGACCCTAACCCAATCCTTCTCTCTGTTTCTGTTCTGGACCCTAACCCCATCCCGTCTGTGTTCTGGACCCTAGCCCCATCCAGTCTCTGTTCTGGACCCTAGCCCCATCCAGTCTCTGTTCTGGACCCTAGCCCCATCCAGTCTCTGGACGGGACCCTAGCCCCATCCAGTCTCTGGACTGGACCCTAGCCCCATCCAGTCTCTGTTCTGGACCCTATCCCCATCCAGTCTCTGTTCTGGACCCTATCCCCATCCAGTCTCTGGACTGGACCCTAGCCCCATCCAGTCTCTGGACTGGACCCTAGCCCCATCCAGTCTCTGGACTGGACCCTAGCCCCATCCAGTCTCTGGACTGGACCCTAACCCATCCTTCTGTGTCTGTTCTGGACCCTAACCTTCTGTCTCTGTACTGCACTAGACCCTAACCTTGTCTCAGTTCTGGACCCTAACCCTATCCTTCTGCCTCTGTTTTGGACTCTAACCTTCTCTCTCGGTCTCTATATTGGACAAGGCATGGAGGTATGCTGTTTAACCCTATCCTTCATAGAGGTATGCTGTTTGACCCTATCCTTCATAGAGGTATGCTGTGTTGTCCTCTTCATAGATGATAGCCACAGTCTCTCCTGCCTCCGCTACAGCAGCACTGGTCTGGATACACGCCTGGGAAAGGACAGATATGTTCATGTACAGTTTGACTAATGTTTGGGAATAATATCATCATTTATTTTACCAGAGGAGGGTATCATAAAGCAGGATCAGTTAGCCATCAGTTTGAAAACAGTTATACCGGAATTCTGACCATTTATCACATAATCCAGCTCTGTGATGTAGATGACACAAGTACAGTGGGGAAATATGTTTTTTTTTACCAGGTCAGTTGACTGAGGACCTGGGGAATAGTTACAGTGGAGAGGAGGGGGGATGAATGAGCCAATTGGAAGCTGGGGATGATTAGGTGGCCATGATGGTATGAGGGCCAGATTGGAAATTTAGCCAGGACACCGGGGGTTAACATCCCTACTCTTACGATAAGTGCCATGGGATCTTTAGTGACCACAGAGAGTCAGGACAGCGGTTTAAAGACGGCACCCCTACACAGGGCAACGTCCTCAATCACTGGGATCTTTTTTTTTATTTAAATCAGAGGAAATAGTGCCTCCTACTGGCCCTTTGACACCACTTCCAGCAGCAGCTGGTCTCATCCAGGACCGACCCTGCTTAGCTTCAGAGGCATGCCAGCAGTGGGATGCAGTGTGGTATGCCAGCAGTGGGATGCAGTGTGGTATGCCAGCAGTGGGATGCAGTGTGGTATGCCAGCAGTGGTATGCAGTGTGGTATGCCAGCAGTGGGATGCAGGGTGGTATGCCAGCAGTGGTATGCAGTGTGGTATGCCAGCAGTGGGATGCAGTGTGGTATGCCAGCAGTGGTATGCAGTGTGGTATGCCAGCAGTGGTATGCAGTGTGGTATGCCAGCAGTGGGATGCAGGGTGGTATGCCAGCAGTGGGATGCAGTGTGGTATGCCAGCAGTGGTATGCAGTGTGGTATGCCAGCAGTGGGATGCAGTGTGGTATGCCAGCAGTGGTATGCAGTGTGGTATGCCAGCAGTGGTATGCAGTGTGGTATGCCAGCAGTGGTATGCAGTGTGGTATGCCAGCAGTGGTATGCAGTGTGGTATGCCAGCAGTGGTATGCAGTGTGGTATGCCAGCAGTGGTATGCAGTGTGGTATGCCAGCAGTGGGATGCAGTGTGGTATGCCAGCAGTGGGATGCAGTGTGGTATGCCAGCAGTGGTATGCAGTGTGGTATGCCAGCAGTGGTATGCAGTGTGGTATGCCAGCAGTGGTATGCAGTGTGGTATGCCAGCAGTGGTATGCAGTGTGGTATGCCAGCAGTGGGATGCAGTGTGGTATGCCAGCAGTGGTATGCCAGCAGTGGTATGCCAGCAGTGGTATGCCAGCAGTGGGATGCAGTGTGGTATGCCAGCAGTGGTATGCCAGCAGTGGGATGCAGTGTGGTATGCCAGCAGTGGGATGCAGTGTGGTATGCCAGCAGTGGGATGCAGTGTGGTATGCCAGCAGTGGTATGCAGTGTGGTATGCCAGCAGTGGTATGCAGTGTGGTATGCCAGCAGTGGGATGCAGTGTGGTATGCCAGCAGTGGGATGCAGTGTGGTATGCCAGCAGTGGTATGCAGTGTGGTATGCCAGCAGTGGTATGCAGGGTGGTATGCCAGCAGTGGGATGCAGTGTGGTATGCCAGCAGTGGTATGCAGGGTGGTATGCTGCTGGACTCTACAGATACAGTGCATTCACATTTTGTTACGTTACAGCCTTATTCTAAAATTCATTAATAATATTATTTTCTCATCGATCTACAAGCAATACCCCATAATGACAAAGCGAAAACAGGTTTAGACATTTTTGCAAATGTATTAAAAACAGAAAAACCTTATTTACATAAGTATTCAGACCCTTTGCTATGAGACTCGAAATTGAGATCAGGTGCATCCTGTTTCCATTGATCACGCTTGAGATGTTTTTACAACTTGATTGGAGTCCACCTGTGATAATTCAATTGATTGGACACCATTTGGAAAGGCACACACACCTGTCTATATACAAAGGTCCCACAGTTGACAGTGCATGTCAGAGCAAAAACCAAACCATGAGGTCGAAAGAATTGTCCGTAGAGCTCCGAGACAGGATTGTGTCGAGGCACAGATCTGGGGAAGGGTGCCAAAAAATTCAGCATTGAAGGTCCCCAAGAACACAGTTGCCTCCATCATTCTTAAATGGAAGAAGTTTAGAACCACCAAGACTCTTCCTAGAGCTGGTCGACTGGCCAAACTGAGCAATCGGGGGAGAAGGGCATTGGTCAGGGAGGTGACCAAGAACCCGATGGTCACTGACAGAGCTCCAGAGTTACTCTGTGGAGATGGGAGAACCTTCCAGAAAAGCATCTCTGCAGCACTCCACCAATCAGGCCTTTATGGTAGAGTGGCCAGACGGAAGCCACTCCTCAGTAAAAGGCACATGACAGCCTGCTTGGAGTTTGCCAAAAGGCACTTAAAGGACTCTCAGACCATGAGAAACAAGATTATCTGGTCTGATGAAACTAAGATTGAACTCTGGCCTGAATGCCACGCGTCACGTCTGGAGGAAACCTGGCACCATCCCTACGGTGAAGCATGGTGTTGGCAGCATCAGGCTGTGGGGATGTTTTTCAGCAGCAGGGACTGGGAGACTAGTCAGGATCGAGGGAAAGATGAACGGAGCAAAGTACAGAGAGATCATTGATGAAAACCTGCTCCAGAGTGCTCAGGACCTCAGACTGGGGTGAAGGTTCACCTTCCAACAGGACAACGACCCTAAGCCCACAGCCAAGACAATGCAGGAGTGGCTTCGGGACAAGTCTCAATGTCCTTGAGTGGCCCAACCAGAGCCCGGACTTGAACCCGATCGAACATCTTTGGAGAGACCTGAAAATAGCTGTGCAGCGACGCTCCCCATCCAACCTGACAGAGCTTGAGAGGATCTGCAGAGAAGAATGGGAGAAACTCCCCAAATACAGGTGTGCCAAGCTTGTAGCGTCATACCCAAGAAGACTAGAGGCTGTAATCGCTGCCAAAGGTGCTTCAACAACGTACTGAGCAAAGTGTCTGAATACTTATGTAAATGTAATTTCAGTTTATTTGCAATAAATGTGCAAAATTGTCTAAAAACCTGTTTTTACTTTGTCATTATGGGGTATTGTGTAGATTGATGAGGGAAAAAAACAATTTAGATTTTTTTACTGTAAAGTTTGGTGTAGGAGGAATAATGGTCTGGGGCTGTTTTTCATGGTTGGGGCTAGGCCCCTTAGTTCCAGTGAAGGGAAATCTTAACGCTACAGCATACAATGACATTCTAGACGATTCTGTGCTTCCACCTTTGGGGAAGGCCCTTTCCTGTTTCAGCTTGACAATGCCCCCGTGCAAAGCGAGGTCCATTAAATGATTTATTGAGATTGGTGTGGAAGGTAGCGGTTAAGGTCGCTGGTTTGAATCCAAGCCGACTAGTTAAAAAAATAAACAAAATAAAATAAAATTTCGGCCTGTGCCCTTGAGCAAGGCACTTAACCGTAATTGCTCCTGTAAGTTGCTCTGGATAAGAGCGTCTGCTAAATGACTAAAAGGTCAAATGTTACGTATTGTCATGTAATGCATTGTTACAGTGCATTCGGAAAGTATTCAGACCCCTTGACCGTTTCCACATTTTGTTACGTTACAGCCTTATTCTAAAATTGATTTTTTCCTCAATCTACACACAATACCCAATAATGACAAAGCAAAAAACAGGTTTTTAGAAATGTTTGCAAATGTATTAAAAATATTCGGACCCTTTACTCAGTACTTTGTTGAAGCACCTTTGGCAGCGATTACAGCCTCAAATCTTCTTGGGTATGACACTACAAGCTTGGCACACCTGTATTTGGGGAGTTTATCCCATTCTTCTCTGCAAGCGCTGTCAGGTTGGATGGGGAGTGTCTCTGCCCAGCTATTTTCAGGTCTCTCCAGAGATGTTAGATCGGATTCAAGTCTTGTCCCGAAGCCACTTCTGCGTTGTCTTGACTGTGTGCTTAGGGTAGTTGTCCTGTTGGAAGGTGAACCTTCGTCCCAGTCTGAGGTCCTGAGCACTCTGGAGCAGGTTTTCATCAAGGATCTCTGTACTTTGCTCCGTTCATCTTTCCCTCGATCTTGACTAGTCTCTCAGTCTCTGCCGCTGAAAAACACCCCCACAGCATGATGCTGCAACCACCATGCTTCACCGTAGGGATGGTGCCAGGTTTCCTCCAGACGTGACGCTTGGCATTCAGGTCAATGAGTTCAATCTTGGTTTCATCAGACCAGAGAATCTTGTTTCTCATGGTCTGAGAGTCCTTTCGGTGCCTTTTGGCAAACTTCAAGCGGGTTGTCATGTGCCTTTTACTAAAGAGTGGCTTCCGTCTGGCCACTCTACCATAAAGGCCTTATTCGTGGAGTGCTGCAGAGATGGTTGTCAGATGAATTCTGGAGCTTTGTCAGTGACCATCAGGTTCTTGGTCACCTCCCTGAATACTTATGTAAATAAGGTATCTGTTTTTTTATTTGTAATAAATATGCAAAAATGTCTAAAAACCTGTTTTCACTTTGTCATTATTGGGTATTGTGTGTAGATTGATGAGGATTTTTTAAAATGTTTTAACCATTTTAGAATAAGGTCCTTCATGTAATGTATGGTCATGTAATGTTATGTATTGTCATGTATTGTCATGTATGGTCATGTATGGTCACGTTAAGCACGGTCACGTTAAGCACGATCACGTTAAGCACGGTCACGTTAAGCACGGTCACGTTAAGCACGGTCACGTTAAGTATTGTCACGTTAAGTATTGTCACGTCTAAGATGTATAGTACCCTCTCCAGTAGATGCAGCCGCTCTTCATTCAGCAGGTTGTTGTGTCTCAGCTGGTTGACAGTGTTTTCCAGACCCACAAGTTTATCCAGGTGTCTCCTGTGTCTCTGTTGCAATACCTTCACCTTCTTCTGAAGCTCTATCACAATGGCTTCCAGCTGCTCCTTACTCAGGCTGTTCTTATTGTAGCTAACAGAGGAGGAGATGTTACAGCGGTTAGGGTTACTCAGGCTGTTGTTATTGTAGCTAACAGAGGAGGAGATGTTACAGCGGTTAGGGTTCCTCAGGCTGTTGTTATTGTAGCTAACAGAGGAGGAGATGTTACAGCGGTTAGGGTTACTCAGGCTGTTCTTATTGTAGCTAACAGAGGAGGAGATGTTACAGCGGTTAGGGTTACTCAGAATGTTGTTATTGTAGCTAACAGAGGAGGAGATGTTACAGCGGTTAGGGTTCCTCAGGCTGTTGTTATTGTAGCTAACAGAGAGAGAGTGTTACAGCGGTTAGGGTTACTCAGGCTGTTGTTATTGTAGCTAACAGAGGAGGAGATGTTACAGCGGTTAGGGTTACTCAGGCTGTTGTTATTGTAGCTAACAGAGGAGGAGATGTTACAGCGGTTAGGGTTACTCAGGCTGTTGTTATTGTAGCTAACAGAGGAGGAGATGTTACAGCGGTTAGGGTTACTCAGGCTGTTGTTATTGTAGCTAACAGAGGAGGAGATGTTACAGCGGTTAGGGTTCCTCAGGCTGTTGTTATTGTAGCTAACAGAGGAGGAGATGTTACAGCGGTTAGGGTTCCTCAGGCTGTTGTTATTGTAGCTAACAGAGGAGGAGATGTTACAGCGGTTTAGGGTTACTCAGGCTGTTGTTATTGTAGCTAACAGAGGAGGAGATGTTACAGCGGTTAGGGTTCCTCAGGCTGTTGTTATTGTAGCTAACAGAGGAGGAGATGTTACAGCGGTTAGGGTTACTCAGGCTGTTGTTATTGTAGCTAACAGAGGAGGAGATGTTACAGCGGTTAGGGTTCCTCAGGCTGTTGTTATTGTAGCTAACAGAGGAGGAGATGTTACAGCGGTTAGGGTTACTCAGGCTGTTTTATTGTAGCTAACAGAGGAGGAGATGTTACAGCGGTTAGGGTTACTCAGGCTGTTGTTATTGTAGCTAACAGAGGAGATGTTACAGCGGTTAGGGTTACTCAGGCTGTTGTTATTGTAGCTAACAGAGGAGGAGATGTTACAGCGGTTAGGGTTCCTCAGGCTGTTGTTATTGTAGCTAACAGAGGAGGAGATGTTACAGCGGTTAGGGTTACTCAGGCTGTTGTTATTGTAGCTAACAGAGGAGGAGATGTTACAGCGGTTAGGGTTCCTCAGGCTGTTGTTATTGTAGCTAACAGAGGAGGAGATGTTACAGCGGTTAGGGTTCCTCAGGCTGTTGTTATTGTAGCTAACAGAGGAGGAGATGTTACAGCGGTTAGGGTTCCTCAGGCTGTTGTTATTGTAGCTAACAGAGGAGGAGATGTTACAGCGGTTAGGGTTCCTCAGGCTGTTGTTATTGTAGCTAACAGAGGAGGAGATGTTACAGCGGTTAGGGTTCCTCAGGCTGTTGTTATTGTAGCTAACAGAGGAGAGATGTACAGCGGTTAGGGTTCCTCAGGCTGTTGTTATTGTAGCTAACAGAGGAGGAGATGTTACAGCGGTTAGGGTTCCTCAGGCTGTTGTTATTGTAGCTAACAGAGGAGGAGATGTTACAGCGGTTAGGGTTCCTCAGGCTGTTGTTATTGTAGCTAACAGAGGAGGAGATGTTACAGCGGTTAGGGTTCCTCAGGCTGTTGTTATTGTAGCTAACAGAGGAGATGTTACAGCGGTTAGGGTTCCTCAGGCTGTTGTTATTGTAGCTAACAGAGGAGATGTTACAGCGGTTAGGGTTACTCAGGCTGTTGTTATTGTAGCTAACAGAGGAGGAGATGTTACAGCGGTTAGGGTTCCTCAGGCTGTTGTTATTGTAGCTAACAGAGGAGGAGATGTTACAGCGGTTAGGGTTACTCAGGCTGTTGTTATTGTAGCTAACAGAGGAGGAGATGTTACAGCGGTTAGGGTTACTCAGGCTGTTGTTATTGTAGCTAACAGAGGAGGAGATGTTACAGCGGTTAGGGTTACTCAGGCTGTTGTTATTGTAGCTAACAGAGGAGGAGATGTTACAGCGGTTAGGGTTACTCAGGCTGTTGTTATTGTAGCTAACAGAGGAGGAGATGTTACAGCGGTTAGGGTTACTCAGGCTGTTGTTATTGTAGCTAACAGAGGAGATGTTACAGCGGTTAGGGTTACTCAGGCTGTTGTTATTGTAGCTAACAGAGGAGATGTTACAGCGGTTAGGGTTACTCAGGCTGTTGTTATTGTAGCTAACAGAGGAGGAGATGTTACAGCGGTTAGGGTTCCTCAGGCTGTTGTTATTGTAGCTAACAGAGGAGGAGATGTTACAGCGGTTAGGGTTCCTCAGGCTGTTGTTATTGTAGCTAACAGAGGAGGAGATGTTACAGCGGTTAGGGTTCCTCAGGCTGTTGTTATTGTAGCTAACAGAGGAGGAGATGTTACAGCGGTTAGGGTTACTCAGGCTGTTCTTATTGTAGCTAACAGAGGAGATGTTACAGCGGTTAGGGTTACTCAGGCTGTTGTTATTGTAGCTAACAGAGGAGATGTTACAGCGGTTAGGGTTCCTCAGGCTGTTGTTATTGTAGCTAACAGAGGAGGAGATGTTACAGCGGTTAGGGTTACTCAGGCTGTTGTTATTGTAGCTAACAGAGGAGGAGATGTTACAGCGGTTAGGGTTACTCAGGCTGTTGTTATTGTAGCTAACAGAGGAGGAGATGTTACAGCGGTTAGGGTTACTCAGGCTGTTGTTATTGTAGCTAACAGAGGAGGAGATGTTACAGCGGTTAGGGTTACTCAGGCTGTTGTTATTGTAGCTAACAGAGGAGGAGATGTTACAGCGGTTAGGGTTACTCAGGCTGTTGTTATTGTAGCTAACAGAGGAGGAGATGTTACAGCGGTTAGGGTTACTCAGGCTGTTGTTATTGTAGCTAACAGAGGAGGAGATGTTACAGCGGTTAGGGTTACTCAGGCTGTTGTTATTGTAGCTAACAGAGGAGGAGATGTTACAGCGGTTAGGGTTCCTCAGGCTGTTGTTATTGTAGCTAACAGAGGAGGAGATGTTACAGCGGTTAGGGTTACTCAGGCTGTTGTTATTGTAGCTAACAGAGGAGGAGATGTTACAGCGGTTAGGGTTACTCAGGCTGTTGTTATTGTAGCTAACAGAGGAGGAGATGTTACAGCGGTTAGGGTTACTCAGGCTGTTGTTATTGTAGCTAACAGAGGAGGAGATGTTACAGCGGTTAGGGTTACTCAGGCTGTTGTTATTGTAGCTAACAGAGGAGGAGATGTTACAGCGGTTAGGGTTACTCAGGCTGTTGTTATTGTAGCTAACAGAGGAGGAGATGTTACAGCGGTTAGGGTTACTCAGGCTGTTGTTATTGTAGCTAACAGAGGAGGAGATGTTACAGCGGTTAGGGTTACTCAGGCTGTTGTTATTGTAGCTAACAGAGGAGGAGATGTTACAGCGGTTAGGGTTACTCAGGCTGTTGTTATTGTAGCTAACAGAGGAGGAGATGTTACAGCGGTTAGGGTTCCTCAGGCTGTTGTTATTGTAGCTAACAGAGGAGATGTTACAGCGGTTAGGGTTCCTCAGGCTGTTGTTATTGTAGCTAACAGAGGAGATGTTACAGCGGTTAGGGTTCCTCAGGCTGTTGTTATTGTAGCTAACAGAGGAGGAGATGTTACAGCGGTTAGGGTTCCTCAGGCTGTTGTTATTGTAGCTAACAGAGGAGGAGATGTTACAGCGGTTAGGGTTCCTCAGGCTGTTGTTATTGTAGCTAACAGAGGAGGAGATGTTACAGCGGTTAGGGTTCCTCAGGCTGTTGTTATTGTAGCTAACAGAGGAGGAGATGTTACAGCGGTTAGGGTTCCTCAGGCTGTTGTTATTGTAGCTAACAGAGGAGATGTTACAGCGGTTAGGGTTACTCAGGCTGTTGTTATTGTAGCTAACAGAGGAGGAGATGTTACAGCGGTTAGGGTTACTCAGGCTGTTGTTATTGTAGCTAACAGAGGAGGAGATGTTACAGCGGTTAGGGTTACTCAGGCTGTTGTTATTGTAGCTAACAGAGGAGGAGATGTTACAGCGGTTAGGGTTCCTCAGGCTGTTCTTATTGTAGCTAACAGAGGAGGAGATGTTACAGCGGTTAGGGTTCCTCAGGCTGTTGTTATTGTAGCTAACAGAGGAGGAGATGTTACAGCGGTTAGGGTTACTCAGGCTGTTGTTATTGTAGCTAACAGAGGAGGAGATGTTACAGCGGTTAGGGTTACTCAGGCTGTTGTTATTGTAGATAACAGAGGAGGAGATGTTACAGCGGTTAGGGTTACTCAGGCTGTTGTTATTGTAGCTAACAGAGGAGGAGATGTTACAGCGGTTAGGGTTACTCAGGCTGTTGTTATTGTAGCTAACAGAGGAGGAGATGTTACAGCGGTTAGGGTTACTCAGGCTGTTGTTATTGTAGCTAACAGAGGAGGAGATGTTACAGCGGTTAGGGTTCCTCAGGCTGTTGTTATTGTAGCTAACAGAGGAGGAGATGTTACAGCGGTTAGGGTTACTCAGGCTGTTGTTATTGTAGCTAACAGAGGAGGAGATGTTACAGCGGTTAGGGTTCCTCAGGCTGTTGTTATTGTAGCTAACAGAGGAGGAGATGTTACAGCGGTTAGGGTTCCTCAGGCTGTTGTTATTGTAGCTAACAGAGGAGGAGATGTTACAGCGGTTAGGGTTCCTCAGGCTGTTGTTATTGTAGCTAACAGAGGAGGAGATGTTACAGCGGTTAGGGTTCCTCAGGCTGTTGTTATTGTAGCTAACATTGTTGTAATATTTGAGTCACTCAGATCACATTAATGTTGGGGTGACACGGGTATCTTAGCAGAACATACTGGCATTAACATTAAGGCTAGCAAGAGTCTGAGGCACCAGGACCAAGACCCTCATTCTTAGGGTAGAGGGTTAAGGTCAAGGGGTAGAGGGGTAGAGGGTTAAGGTCAAGGGGTAGAGGGTTAAGGTGTAGAGGGTTAAGGTCAAGGGGTAGAGGGTTAAGGGCAAGGGGTAGAGGGGTAGAGGGTTAAGGTCAAGGTGTAGAGGGTTAAGGTCAAGGGGTAGAGGGTTAAGGTAGAGGGGTAGAGGGTTAAGGTCAAGGGGTAGAGGGGTAGAGGGGTAGAGGGTTAAGGTCAAGGTGTAGAGGGTTAAGGTCAAGGGGTAGAGGGTTAAGGTTAAGGTGTAGAGGGTTAAGGTCAAGGGGTAGAGGGTTAAGGTCAAGGGGTAGAGGGTTAAGGTGTAGAGGGTTAAGGTCAAGGGGTAGAGGGTTAAGGTCAAGGGGTAGAGGGTTAAGGTCAAGGGGTAGAGGGTTAAGGTCCAGGGGTAGAGGGTTTAATGTGTCGAGGGTTCAGGTGTAGAGGTTAAGTGTAGAGGGTTAAGGTTAAGGGGGTAGCTGGTTAAGGTTAAAGGTGTAAGGGTTTCAGGTGTAGAGGGTAGATGTTAAGGTGTAGAGGGTTAAGGTGTAGACGGTTACTGTGTAAGGGTTAAGGTGTCGAGGTTACGGGTGTAGCAGGGTTAAGGGTAGAGGTTAAGGTGTCGCGGTTTCCGGTGTAGAGGGTTAAGGTTCCTGCTGTGTAGAGGGTTAAGGTGTAGAGGGTTAAGGTGTAGAGGGTTAAGGGTGCTCTTTACCGGTGTTCCTCCAGTTGGCTTCCCCGGTGTTCCATACGGTCCTCCTCCTCCTCTTCCGTCTCCCCCTCCTCAGTCTCCAGTCTCTCCAGTGTGAGGATAAGTGATCCGGGAGAGGGGGGCATGTGCTTGGACACTATAGGCAGTGTGGAGACGATGGGTGTGGGGCTGAGAGCTGAGGACAGCACAGTGTCTGGTGGGATGCTGAACTGAGCCGCCCCGCTGGACAGAATGTTGGGGATCGTCTCAAAGTAGGCGATGATCTGAGCCCCGCCACCGTGGTAGTCCTGGGAGACAGACAGCTCCTCCATCTCAGGAGAGACGTTCTCGATGAGCAGAGTTGTCGGGGACAACACAAAATGACCGACATCTTCCGTTGTTCCCAGGTCATAACCTTCAGTCAAGATGGCTGCTGTGACCCTACTCACCTCCACCTCTTCCAGCTGTTCCGACACCACCACCTCTCCATCCAGCCCACCATGCTCCCCTCCACCCTCCAGCCCACCCAGATCCTCTACTGTTTGGAACACAGTAACAGGGAAGCCTCCTGCAGCACCGTCATGGCTCCACCCCTCTAACGCTGACGGAGGCAGAGCTGCTGTGTGCAGTAGGTCCACTGTGTGCCCAGTCACGTCCCTCTCCTCCAGCAGCTCTGCCTCCTCAGTCGCTGAGGGGTTAACCGTGTCATAGAGTGTCACTGTGTTCGCACTGTCACTGTCTGTGGAGTCGCTAGCTGGCATCCCAAAGTCAGAAGAGGTGGTCCGTGTTTTCCTGCTGTGTCGCAGCCTTTTGGATTTCCGACTCTCACGGTGTTCCTCACCTTTACGTTTCTGTCCAAAACACAAAGGGAAGAGGAAGAGCGTTGTTCAACTTCTGAATCTAATCATTTAAAAAGCACAAAAATCATCTAACAGACTCAAATACATGCAGAACTTGAAAGAAGGAACATAAACCAACATGGATGGCTTTCCCCTGTTACATTTAGGTTGACTTTATCAGGGATAACATGTCACCACATTTACAGACAATAACCTAGGGTTAGAGTGACCTTAACAGTGCATTCTGAAAGTATTCAGACCCCTTGACTTTTTCCACATTTTGTTACGTTACAACCTTATTCTAAAATTGATTAAGTTGTTTTTCCCCCTCATCAATCTACACACAATATCACATAATGACAAAGCAAAAACAGGTTTTTCAAAATTTTTGCAAATGTATGAAGAATAAACAGAAATACCTTATTTACTTAAGTATTCAGACCCTTTGCTATGAGACTCGAAATTGAGCTCAGGTGCATCCTGTTTCCATTGATCATCCTTGAGATGTTGTTATAACTTGATTGAGTCCACCTGTGGTAAATTCAATTGATTGGACATGATTTGGAAAGGCACACACTTGTCTAGATTAGTTCCCACAGTTGACAGTGCATGTCAGAGCAAAAACTAAGCCATGAGGTCGAAGGAATTGTCTGTGGAGCTCTGAAACAAGATTGTGTCGAGGCACAGATCTGGGAGAACATTCCAGAAGGCCAACCATCTCTGTAGCACTCCACCAACCAGGACTTTATGGTAGAGTGGCCAGACGGAAGCCACTCCTCAGTAAAAGTCATGACAGCCCGCTTGGAGTTTGCCAAAAGGCACTTAAAGGACTCTCAGACCATGAAGCAAGATTCTCTGGTCTGGAGAAACCAAGGTTGAACTCTTTGGCCTGAATGCCAAGCGTCACGTCTGGAGGAAACCAGGCACCATCTCTACGGTGAAGCATGGTGGTGGCAGCATCATGCTGTGGAGATGTTTTTCAGCGGCAGGGACTGAGAGACTAGTCAGGATCGAGGGAAAGTTGAACGGAGCAAAGTACAGAGAGATCCTTGATGAAAACCTGCTCCAGAGCGCTCAGGACCTCAGATGGGGCAAAGGTTCACCTTCCAACAGGACAACAACTCGAAGCATACAGCCAAGACAACGCAGGAGAGGCTTCGGGACAAGTCTCTGAATGTCCTTGAGTGGCCCAGCCAGAGCCCAGACTTGAACCTGATCGAACATCTCTGGAGAGACCTGAAAATAGCTGTGCAGCGACGCTCCCCATCCAACCTGACAGAGCTAGAGAGGATCTGCAGAGAAGAATGGGAGAAACTCCCAAAATATAGGTATGCCAAGCTTCTAGCATCATACTTGTAGCTTCAACAAAGTACTTAGTAAAGGGTCTGAATACTTATGTAAATGTTATATTTCAGTTTTTTATTTTTAATACATTTGCAAAATTGTCTAAAAACCAGTTTTTGCTTCGTCATTATGTGGTATTGTGTCTAGATTGATGAGGGGGAAAAACGATTTAATCAATTTTAGAATAAGGCTGTAACGTAACAAAATGTGGAAAAAGTGAAGGGGTCTGAATACTTTCCAAATGCACTGCACCTCTGTGAGCTGGAAGACAGTGGGCACAGCGTTGTTCTCCAGGTAACGGATCCCCCAGCGCAGCTTGAAGCTGGAGGATGCAAAATGTTCATGACAGATATACTGGTGTCTGGAAGGGGTCCAGTCCTCACGACCCATGTTTTTCAACCACTGCTCTAAGCGGGCTGGGTCCTGCAGCGGAAACCTACAGGAGCAGGAGAACAACAGTATTAGTTTCCAACAGCAACCTGCTTGAGTCAGGTCATGCAACTGTGACCCACATTGCGAAACATTCAATATGAGTGGCTAACACATGGAGGAAAAATAACTGCTAGCTACTGTAGAACATCGACCATATGGCAGATCAGCTTACACATCAAATACATTGTGTTAACTTAGCTAACTATCAATATGGTTTAGCACATATGTAATATTTGTCAAAATAGTATTAGCCTTTGAGCGACATGATAATGCTTGACACCTTGCCATTCATAGTAGCCAACTAAACTTAACTCCACGTTAGTGTGGGCGGCCTGGAGTTGAAATGACAGATAAAATTACGTTTATCCAAAACTATTGTTTTTGGCAGCCAAACACTAGCCCGCAATTATACAAGACAATGTGTTTAAAAAATAATCATATTTTATATTTTAATCATATATATATATAAATGACATTTTATGTCACATAAAATGGCGTTATTGAAAAACTAGTTCGCCCACACTAGTCGCCGCTTAACTTCATCGTAAATTGTTGAGTTTAATCGGCTATCATTAATATCGAAAGTTACTGCTCGCATAGTTATAGTCAAGCTAGCAACAAATACAGCCATGCTTACTTGTAGAAGCTTTTCCTATCAGAATTGTTGTTTCCAGAGTCATTCTTGCAGTTCGGTGCAGAACAATACTTCGGCATCTCGTCGAGCACCTTGAGGGGTTATCTTTAAAACTGGCCTGGCAAGGTGAGTTGTCAGTTTTGTGCCTGGCAAGGTGAGTTGTCAGTTTTGTGCCTGGCAAGGTGAGTTGTCAGTTTTGTGATCAACTTGTAGCGTGCGTCAGCTGTTAGCTTCTGTGCGTTACGTCAGAACGATGCGACTCGCATATCACGTGTTATGCCGCGTTCATAATAACTGGGAATTCGGAACTTGGAAATCCATTTTCAATTCAATTTAAGGTCTTTATTTGTATGGGAAACATATGTTTACATTGCCAAAGCAAGTGAAATAGATAATAAACAAAAGTGAAATAAACAATACAAAATTAACTGTAAACGTTACACTCACAAAAGTTCCAAAATAATAAAGACATTTCAAACGTCATATTATGTGTATACTGTTTAATAATGATGTGCAAATAGTTAAAGTACAAAAAGGAAAATAAATAAACATAACTATCCGACTTCAGTGCGTTCAAAACTGGGAACTCGGGAAAAAAAAAAACAGCCTCTGACTGGGAAAAATCGATTTGAACGGTCATCCAACTCGGAATTCCAACTCGGGAACCCTGGCCTTTTTCTAGATCTCCGACATTCGAAACTGAAGAACACCGACGTCATGATTTTATCTCGTATTTTTCAGAGTTCCGAGTTTTTTTGAATGCGGCATTAAACTCCCACTTCTGAGATTCTCAACAGCTGTAGCACAGTCAGAACAATGAGCCATCTATTTCACCGGATGTATAAATGTGAAGCATCCGGTTGGCGTTTCCACTTCGGTAAGAAACAGAAGGAATAAAAACACAGCTCAATCAAAACCAGAGAGCTTTCGACACACCCACTCCTTTCCACACGCCTACTACTTTCCTTTCGACACACCCACTCCTTTCGACACGCCTACTACTTTCCTTTCGACACACCCACTCCTTTCCACACGCCTACTACTTTCCTCTCGACACACCCACTCCTTTCGACACGCCTACTACTTTCCTCTCGACACACCCACTCCTTTCGACACGCCTACTTCTTTCCTTTGGACACACCCACTCCTTTCCACACGCCTACTACTTTCCTTTCGACATATTGAGCGGCAGCTAACTGGAATTTAGACCTTTTTTTTTTTGGTGCTTTCAAGACAGGACTTCCGTCACAGCTTTGCGTTTGAAGTCTGTCTGTCACTGACATCAGTGCAGGGACGGCGGATGAAAGTTTGTTTCGGGGAATCTTTCATTGAGTTTATCTTTAGCTAGCTACGTTAGCTAGCCAGCCGCCAGGAGAGGGATTTTTGAAATCGTTGAAAAACAAACAAACTTTACTCCGCACGGCCGTGCTGTGAATGGGTGAGAGATGGTAGGAGATAGTGATGGAGAGGAAAGTGAAGCAAGTATGGAACATGGTGGTACAAATAAAGGAGGGAGTGAGAGAGAAAACGAAAGCGGGAGAGAAAGGGAGTAGGGGAATGAAGGGGAGCGAGAGGTCTACGGAGGTAGAGAGGAGGCAGAAAAGGAGGTTTGAGGAGAGCAACCTAGCTTCCGACGCTAGCGGAAGTTCGGAGGTAGAAAGTGCAGAGGAAGGGCAAGATAAGACACGAGAGGAACATGGAGGTGAGGAGGAGCATAAAGTGATTATGAAGTTTAGGGAGGAAGGGAGAGTTGGGGCGATGAGTCCCATAAGGTGGACGGCTGTGATAAACGAGTTGATTGGGGAAGTTGTTAATGCTAAAGTGTTAAGAGATGGGAGCTTGTTGTGCTGTAAGGACATGGCGCAGAGGGAAAAAGCTCTTAGTGAAGCAAACAGGGAAGTGTGAGGTGGAGTCGAGCAGCTGGACTGATCAAGCAGGGAAGTGTGAGGTGGAGTCGAGCAGCTGGACTGATCAAGCAGGGAAGTGTGAGGTGGAGTCGAGCAGCTGGACTGATCAAGCAGGGAAGTGTGAGGTGGAGTCGAGCAGCTGGACTGATCAAGCAGGGAAGTGTGAGGTGGAGTCGAGCAGCTGGACTGATCAAGCAGGGAAGTGTGAGGTGGAGTCGAGCAGCTGGACTGATCAAGCAGGGAAGTGTGAGGTGGAGTCGAGCAGCTGGACTGATCAAGCAGGGAAGTGTGAGGTGGAGTCGAGCAGCTGGACTGATCAAGCAGGGAAGCAGTGGAGTAAAAGGCCCGTGGCCCCGTGTAGCTCGGTTGGTAGAGCATGGCGCTTGCAACGCCAGGGTTGTGGGTTTGATTCCCACGGGGGGCCAGTATGAAAAAAACATGTATGCACTCACTAACTGTAAGTCGCTCTGGATAAGAGCGTCTACTAAATGACTAAAATGTTAAAATGTAAGGGGTGGTAACAGGAGTGCCTGTGAGTGTTAGCACTAAAGAGGTAAGGGACAATTTGAGAGGAGGCGTTCTAGTGAATGTACACAGATTGCAAGCAACAAGGGCTGGAGATAGGGTAGATGGCACGTCTATTCTGTTACATTTTAAGGACCGGGTATTGCCAAATAAGGTAACAATAGGATATATGAGTTATTATGCACAGAGGGTAGTGCGTACGGCCCAGTACATCACTGGGGCCAAGCTTCCTGCCATCCAGGACCTCTATACCAGGCGGTGTCAGAGGAAGGCCCTCAAAATAGTCAAAGACTCCAGCCACCCAAGTCATAGACTGTTCTCTCTGCTACCGCACGGCAAGCGGTACCGGAGTGCCAAGTCTAGGTCCTAAAGACTTCTCAACAGCTTCTACCCCCAAGCCATAAGACTCCTGAACAGCTAATCATGGCTACCCGGACTATTTGCACTGCCCCCCCACCATCTTTTTACGCTGCTGCTACTCTGTTAATTATTTATGCATAGTCACTTTAACTCTACCCACATGTACATATTACTTCAACTACCTCAACTAGCCGGTGCCCCCGCACATTGACTCTGCACCGGTACCCCCCTGTATATAGCCTCCCTACTGTTATTTTATTTTACTTCTGCTCTTTTTTTCTCAACACTTTTGTTTTATTTTATTTTTTATTAAAAAATAAATGCACTGTTGGTTAAGGGCTGTAAGTAAGCATTTCACTGTAATGTCTGTACCTGTTGTATTCGGCGCATGTGGCCAATAACGTTTGATTTGATTTATGTGAGGGCTTATGTACCGAAGCCTTTAAGATGTTATAAATGCCAGAGGTTTGGGCATGTGGCAACAGTCTGTAAAGAGGAAAAAGAGGTGTGGAGGAGAGCATGAGTATGGGAAGTGAGGAGATGGTGTACACCCAAAGTGCTGCAACTGTGGGGGGTGCTCATAGTGTGGCATATAGTGGGTGTGAGGCTATGAAGAAGGCAGTGGAGGTGCAATAAATGAGAGCGGAGAGAAGGGTGTCATATGCTGATGCAGTGAGGGTGGTCCAGGTCCAGGGAGATATAGGTTCAAGGGAGAGAAGGGTAGGAGCATCTAGACCGGGGATTACGGGGCAGGTGGGCAGCGATATGGTATACATAGAAAAGAGAAAGCTGGTGACGTTTGATAGAAAATAAAGATCTGGTGTGCCTGAATGATGGCCGAGGGACCAGGATTGATGTAGCCACAGGGAAAGAGTTTGCCTTGGACCTCACTCCGGTATCTAGTGCGATGGCAGGAATCTGTGAGTGGGAGGTATGGGAGGAGTTGACAGTAGGGAGTGATCATTACCCCATAGAATGCACAGTAGGCCTGGAGGGAGGAGGAGGTGTTAGTGGATGGAGTAGGCAGGTGGGTGTTTGGAAGGGCAAAGTGGGATCAGTTTCAGGAGCTGAGTGAGCAGGTGATGGCTCGGGTGGATATGAGAGGGGATGTGGATAGTATGAATAACTGGGTGAGAACAGCGTTAGTGGGGGGCAGCTACTGAGGCTATACCTAAGAGTTCAGGGAGGAGGAGGAGGAAAGCAGTCCCATGGTGGACAGAGGAATGTGGGGCAGCAGTGAGGAATAGGAACAGGGCATTTAGAGTACTGAAAAGGATGCATAATTTCCAACATCTGATTCAGTATAAGCAGGCCCAGGCCATGGTGAGGAGAACTATCCGTCAGGCAAATAGGTCATGTTGGCATCGGTTCTGTGACACCATTGGAAGGGCGACACCTGTGGGAGAAGTGTGGGGCATGATTAAGAGGATGAGTGGGGTCAGAAGGGAGTGGGATTATCCAGTGTTGACGAGTGGGGAGGATGTGGCAGTAACAGATGAGGAGAAAGCAGAGATGATGGCCAAAGCGTTTGTCCAAGTGCATAGCTCCGCAAATCTGTCAGAGGAGGGGCAGAGGGGGAGGGAGAACACGAGAGAGGAGCATCCTGGAGTGCTGGAAAGGAGGGAGGATGTAAATGATGTGTTGAATGCACCATTTACCAGGGCAGAGGTGAAAAGAGCAATAGGTAAGGGTGGGTTAACTTCACCTGGGAAAGATGAGGTGTGCTATGTTATGTTGGCCCATCTTAGTGATGAGGCACTGGATAAGGTTTTACATTTTAGACATTTAGCAGACGCTCTTATCCAGAGCGACTTACAGTTAGTGAGTGCATACATAATTGTTTTATTTTTTCATACTGGCCCCCCGTGGGAATCGAACCCACAACCCTGGCGTTGCAAACGCCATGCTCTACCAACTGAGCTACATCCCCCCTGTATTGGTGTTGTACAAAAAATTCTACAGCTGCACCATCGAGAGCATCCTGACTGGTTGCATCACCGCCTGGTATGGCAACTGCTTGGCCTCTGACCGCAAGGCACTACAGAGGGTAGTGCGTACGGCCCAGTACATCACTGGGGCAAAGCTCCCTGCCATCCAGGACCTCTATACCAGGCGGTGTCAGAGGAAGGCCCTCAAAATTGTCAAAGACTCCAGTCACCCTAGTCATAGACTGTTCTCTCTGCTACCGCACGGCAAGCGATACCGGAGTGCCAAGTCTAGGTCCAAAAGACTTCTCAACAGCTTCTACCCCCAAGCCATAAGACTCCTGAACAGCTAATCATGGCTACCCGGACTATTTGCACTGCCCCCCCACCCCATCCTTTTTACGCTGCTGCTACTCTGTTAAGTATTTATGCATAGTCACTTTAACTCTACCCACATGTACATATTGCCTCAACTGCCTCAAC